CCGGGAGCTGGAATATGACATCATCTGTAGACAGCCCACAAGGGAGCAGAGCATAGAGAACACAGCTCCTTCGCCGCATCTGACAGGAACTCTGCTGCCCGCCGCACTGAAGCCCCACTGGACACCAGGGACAGATCCACGCCAGCTCTCCAGGTAGGGAGGCTGGGTGGACATTTAATAATAATTTATATGTGTGTCTGTAAGTGTGTGTGTGTCTGTAAGTGTATGTGTGTGTCTGTATGTGTATTTGTCTGTAAGTGTGTGTGTCTGTCTGTGAATGTGTGTGTCTGAGTGTGTGTGTGTGTGTGTTTGTGTGTGTGTGTGTCTGTAAGTGCATGTGTCTGTAAGTGTATGTGTGTCTCAGTGTGTGTATCTGTATGTGTGTCTGAATGTGTGTGGATTCTGTGAGGTTTCTATGGCAGAAACAAGGCATAGGGTCCCTTCAAAAGTTCAGAACTAGAAATACCAACCAAGACAATAGATTGGTATAACGTTCAGGCTGTGAACCTATGTTTAGTTTTCTAAATGTGTCCATGGCCATCATGCAGTGCACGCTGATGGCGGGTCTATTTTTTGCACAAAATTTACATCTGGCAGTCTGGAACAAAGTTCTGGGCTGACGAGATTACATGTGCCGGGTGTGTAACTAGCCCCCCACACAAAAGAGCAAATATTTCATGTGCAGAGATTTAAGCTGAAACACTGCACATACAGACTCCTACCAACATGACCACTTCTAAAAGCATAATAATCATTAAATGTGATACGCTAGGCACCTTAACCACTTTCTCTCACTCAGCTGACTCATTTTGAATCATTTACCCCCGAATGTGGGTGTCCAGGCAAATACAGTGGAATCATTAGCCTGAGCATCGATGGGTAGCAGTGATTGTGTCAACTGAACTCTCTCTATCACTGCCACCCATTGCTGGTATGGATTTGAAAAGCTAATGCAGAAGTGCAGTCCACCTTAGCCATACCTCCAGTGAAGACAGAGCAAGGGGGAATCTGGGAACTGCATTATTATTATTATTATTATTATTTTATTCAAATAGAGCCATCAAATTCAATAACGCTGTACAATGGGTGGACTAACAGACACGTAATTGTAACCAGACAAATGGACATACAGGAACAGAAGGGTTGAGAGTCCTACTCAATGAGCTTACATATTAGAGGGAGTTGGGTAAAGTGACAAAAAAGGGTAAAAGTAGGGGTGTGAAGTAGGTTGTTAGAAAAGTATACACTGAGGGCTTAGTAGGTTATTTTTGACAGTTGCAGGAAAGGAGTTATTGGGGATAGGGGATGGAAACCTGCTAACAGTTTAATGATATGCTTTCCTGAAGAAGTGAGTTTTCAATGATTTTTTTGAAAGAGTGGAGACTTGGTGAAAGTCTAACGGAGAAGGGAAGGATGTTCCACAGAAAAGGTGCAGCCCTGGAGAAGTCTTGAAGGCGAACATCAAAGGTGGGAGTTCAGATAGAGGATAGATGTAGGTCTTCGGCAAAGCACAGGGGCCTCAACTGGACATATTTGTGTATTTGGGAGGATAGGTAGGTTGGAGCAGCATTATGTAGGGAATTATAAGCAAGCACCAGAATTTAAATTGAGCCCTATATCTTACTGGAAGCCAATGTGGAGACTGACAGAGCAGTCTATGTCAAACTACCACTGAGTGGGATGGCACAATGGGACTGCAGGCACCATAACCACTTTAATTCAATGAAGTGGTCATGATGCCTGTAATGTCCCTTTAATTTTTGTCACTTGGAGTTTGCAGCCTTAAAGTTCTTGTGAGCCAAGAACCTTACTACTTAACATCGATAGTTTATAGCAGCTAGGCCCTCTGGTAGGTGATGTTTAACATTGATAACAATGCTTGTTGACTTTCCAATTTCTTGCAATTGTATTATTGGAGACAGATAATGTCATCCTTTCACATTATTCTAAGATTCATGTTTCCTCTCATTGTTGATGTAAATTTTGCACTCTATTGTTAAATCATTATCTGTTCTATACCTCTTATATTTGGATTTCACTAAAAGTGATTTTTTATTTTTCTTTGTCTTTAGTCTGGAGGGAATATCACACAGGGATATGAAAAAAATAATAAATAAAAAAATAACAACTTAAATATAGAATGTTCTACATTCTGCAGGAAAATATTTCCAAAGAAGCAGGCATACTACAAGAGATGGATAGATGTCAGTCTAAGAGTAGAATAATGAATAATCTATTAGAATACAGAGTGGGTAAGTCACTATTTAAATAGACACTCCACTGCCCAAATACAACATAACTTAAAAATCACTGTTTAATAAACATACGCAAATGAAAACTTAGATGCCTTTAATTATATGTTTTTTAATTGGAAGTATATCTAAACACAGCCTGCAAAACCTGCATTTGTTTGTCTGCTGCCTTTGCAAGCCCTGCCCTTTTTTAACCCACCCAGACTATTTAAATTAGAAGTCTTTGCAAGGCAGGTGCTTATAGCAATTGCTGCCTCTTGAGCTTAGATCCACCGAGCTAACCAAACCAGGAAGTAACAGGACCTGTTGTTTGCTTGAAATCCATGGGGGTGTAACCAGGTTTATTTATAAAAGTGCCAATTTCTATTGAAATCTGCATTTTTTGCAAAATGAAAAAAGAGGACACAGTCTTCACACATAAAGCACTTTAGCAAGCTAAAGTGCTTAAGGGATCCGGAGTTTCCCTTTAAGATAACATTGGAGATCCAATACAATTTGTGGTATTTACTCCAGGTTTAACAGATAAGCATGGGCCAAAATCAATATTTCCTAGTTAGGGGGGAAGAATTAGACCAACCCACCTTTGTAGCTTATATATTTTATGTTTAATTGCCCCACTCCTTTAATTTGATTGACTTACCTTTCTTCCCGTAGAGGAAAATTGAGGGGGGTCCCAAATAATTTACTTGAATAACTTGCCATGTGTGGTTTTTACTGCTGTCAAACTCTTTGTCATTATATAATTACTTTGCATGTTGTGGAATTTTGTAATCACTGATTACATAAGATTGTAGCATGTCAAAGGTACAAGATATACAGAGAAAAATAGATTTTGCCTGCAGATAAAAAAAGATGACCCATCTACTATGGTCGTTCCATACCTGAAAAAGTACATGTTTTATTATGGGTTTTTTAAACTTTGTTTCATGCATAGCAGTGTGTCTGTGCCGGGTCTTTTTAAACAAAGATAATACAAACAGTTATTACAGACAGACTGCAGTGCACTGATCCACTTACTACGATACAGGGAAAACACTTTTTTATATTCATTCCCCCTCGGTACTTTCCTGTTCCAAACTGGATTTTCATTTTGTATGTTTTAAAGTAATTTAAGTAGTTTTGTAGATGTGTGTGAATGTTTTTATGAGTGCGTGATTAAAAACTAAGGTTGTTGAGCTGATATGTTGCTTGTTGATCATAATCGATCTGCATTTTGACAATCCATGTGTGTCCATCCCACCCTGCTGAACGTGCGCTATGTGAGAAGAGAGACACTGCTCTGGACTGTGAGGAGCCTTGTGTTTTGTCCATCTTAAAAACCTGTGCCATCTTCTGTATTATTAGATCACTCATAGGGCTGTGTAAAAGAAAGTCCCAACAAGTCCTCATGGGAACTTTCAGCTATCTCTGTTACCCCACTGAGGCGACACTCCTAATAAAAGAACGGTGCAGTTTATGAATGCATTATTCATAATAATGTTTTAAAAATGAAAAAGAAGACCATAAAATAAAAGGATACCCCCTATTTAAGCAGCGGTAAATCCACAAGTCTTCAGCTTGAGAATAACTGATATTTGCAGAGACCAGGTGTTTATGAGACATGAATAGCAGCAGTAGTTAGGGTAGATGATGTTGTAGCGATCCCTAGGTGATCTCATTTGTGCATTGACCCATTTTCCTTCATAAAAATATACCAAATTAATGCTTATGTGAGTGAATGAAAGCTGACAAGGCGGCCATATTGATACAGTCCATGGTTTGTGATTGTAAACACCCTCAAATTAACCCCTTAGCCATTGGTTCCTTTCAAACACTTGAAGGTTCATTCACTAAATGTTTTAAATTTGATCCAATTCTCTTTTATTTGGCTAATGAAATTCCTCTGCGGTATAGTTTTTCCTCATCTACGAAGTGAAATTGCATTGAATAGGCCTCTGCTATTTTTAAATGAATCTCATTGCAAGATGGAGGATCGCTTGAAAACAGCTCAACAAAATTTCAGTCGAACGGCAGCAGAATTTTCCTGCTGTAAAATAAAAAGAGATATTGCTAAGGTTAGATTTAGGCCTGTGATGTTATTATACATTTAAGAGTGGTTAAGGGTGCACATCCCCTGGTCTCTCTTAGAGAAATTGGACCAACTAAATGAAGGGAATTTGGTTTCAATTTAGTTGTAATTCGGCTGTATGTAAATAGTCTAATTGTCAAATCGAGATATATAAACACATGGCTAATTTTTTGAGGTAACTGAACAGCAGCCAAATAGAATTGCACATTTGATTGAAATAACTATATTTGCTTTTTGTAAGTAATTGTACATTTGGTTGACAAATGTCAAAATATCAACAACCGAATGGCATTTGGCTGCTGGAGTTCAAAGTCAAAACAAAACTGTCACTGTTCAAATAGTCACTAATTATTCTGCCATCTGCTATGTCTTATTTTAACCTGCTTTGCTATGATATACTTTTTTTTCCTGGATGCATGCAATACATCACTTGTAATTTTGAATGGTTGACTTTATAGATCATATGAAATATTTTACTTTATATTCTGTCTTTTCATGCAGACGAAGGAGAAGAAATCTTGCAAAATGACAACAGGGACCATTCCATATTTCTGCATGTCTCCTGCTGCCATTATAATCATTTCTAGCATCTGCTAAAGGAAAGAATGTCCAAACTGAGAGATTGGTCTACAGAGGATCACTGTATGCCCTTAAACAGTTAATTTTGTTCAACCCTCATCATGGGAGGATGTTTCTCCAAACCTAAACCAGGTGAGCTCATGTAAAAAACAGATTATTCATCACATGTCATACAGCCAAACACAATGACCTATATTAGGCTTAGAAACGCTCTGGGGCAACTGCTGGAAAGAATGTTAATTCCGCGCTCTTGCCGGGAGGATTAGAGAACGCTCTAGGTTACAACTAATCCTAAGGAAAAGTACACTTGACTTTCTTTAACATTTTGTACAATCGGCTGGAATAAAGACCTTTGCCATAATGAGCTTGGACTGTTGTATCCTGTTCTGTGTTGAAGTAGCCACAAGACCTTAAATTCCATCTCTGTTTGGTACTAAGAACAGCAGGACGTAGTGTAATGCTTGCATCGTTCTAGCAGCTGATACTGAATTCAAATAATGAATGAACTTAATTGGAAAGGATTTAGCTGAGTGGATTATTATTTTTTAATAAAAAATCAAAATTGTCATTAAAATAGATTTATAATGCTGTTAACCCTTATTGTGATATCACAGTCTTTTTGTATAACATCACTGCTAGCAAATAACATTTTGTCATTCTAGAATTTTTTTTAAATGAAAGGACCACTATAGTGCCAGGAAAACATACTCGTTTTCTTGGCACTATAGTGCCCTGAGGGTGCTCCCACCCTCAGGGACCCCCTCCCGCCCGGCTCTGGGGAGAGGAAAGGGTTAAAACTTACCTTTTTTCCAGCGCCGGGCGGGGAGCTCTCCTCCTCCGATCCTCCTCCTCTCCTCCCTTTCGGCTGAATGCGCACGCGCGGCAAGAGCTGCGCACACATTCAGCCGGTCTCATAGGAAAGCATTTACAATACTTTCCTATGGACGCTTGCGTGTTCTCACTGTGATTTTCACAGGGAGAATCACGCAAGCGCCTCTAGCGGCTGTCAGTGAGACAGCCACTAGAGGATTTGGAGGCTGGATTAACCCTATTATAAACATAGCAGTTTCTCTGAAACTGCTATGTTTATAAAAAAAAGGGTTAACCCTAGCTGGACCTGGCACCCAGACCACTTCATTAAGCTGAAGTGGTCTGGGTGCCTAGAGTGGTCCTTTAAATATATATATTTTAATATGTAATTTTGGACTAAGATCTATTACTGAAAGAATAGTAGGCATAGCAATTTTATCTTAATGGTGATAAATATGGGATATACTATACCATAAGATAGAGCCTTTTAGCTAAATACGTGGCAGGAATTTCCTGTTGTTTAATACTTCTAAATGCACTGTCTATAAATCACGTAGGAAACAATCTGTGTTGCATTTTCCAAATGGAGTTGTTTTTTTAATTTCCATTAAGCTAATAAATGCAGTTAACAGCTTACCAGTATGAATGAAATGTGTAACAAGCTGAGCTGCATGAACAATAAAAATAATAATAATAAAAACATGAATATATATATATACCACACAAAATAAAAATTGTGCACTCCAGGTCTAAAGGGCTGACTTGTTGCCTGGTGCTAAATTCCTACAAATCTAGAAAAAGAACACCCTAAAGCATTGGTAGGAAACCTTTAATCCCTTAAGGACCAAATTTATGGAATAAAATGGAATTATGACATGTCACACATGTCATGTGTCCTTAAGGGGTTAAAGGGTCACTCCAGACCCCTAAACAACTTTAGAAAAACTTTATGTGTGTAGAGTGTGTCCTCTTTTTTTCATTTTGCAAAAAGTGCATATTTCAATATAAATTGACACTTTTATAAATTAGTATATGGTATAGGGCTATTCCAAGACTTTAACATCCCAAGAAATGCCTTCAAAAGTGTACTTGGTGTGCCTTCTTGCTTCAATGCTTGGTGAATATAAATCTCATAAAAAACAAGGTGCAAAAAAAAAAAAATTGATGAAATGACTGTATGAATAAAGAGTAAAAAAAAGCATTTATTACTTACATCAAAGTAAATAATAGCAGATATATGGATATATAGCTGCTTGTGGAATTGTGTGTGAGCAAAAATCAAATGTGAGAAAGGCTGAACTTGATGGATGCATGTCTGTTTTCAGCGATGTAACTATGTAACCTCTACTAAAAAGGTAGGGCCTTTCAGTTTATATTGCTAAGTTGCATGTCCTGTAATGGTAGGTGAGAACACTTTTTATCGTTGGTACCATGACATTTTTAAACAGCATTTCTTGAGTAAATTACAATAAGTCAGCATTGTTTGCTCCACTTTTAGAACATTAACTCTGAATGTGTTCTTTAAAGGAACTATTCACTGACAGTTTTAACAATTCAATATATATAACCACAAAGAAACATGCATTTTTTTTTTTCCACGTGTTTTGTTTGGGGATATATATACCAAAATGCTTATAAATGCTGCAAACCTGCTGTCTGCAGCCTTTTCAAGCCCTTCCCTCTTTTAGGCAGTGCTGGGGAATACAGCTGTGAAAGGCTTTCCTATACTTCTAAATAAGCTGTAGTAGAGCTAAACTGAGAAGGCAACGGCAGGCACACGCTAGCACCGTGCACCTGCAGCCATGTGGAGTTAGCAGAAGCAAAAGAAAACCTCTCTTGAATGCTAAAGTGCTTTATGTGTCAGGAATGTTCCTTTAACAATGTGTCCCAACATAGAGTTTTGAAATTTAAAATTCATTTTGAATTCACTTTGAATTCTCACCTTAGTGAATAACCCTGATTGTTATTTAAACATACAAATCTATTTTGTTACAGCAGAGGTAAAAGTTGAAGTTGTTTTGCCAGAGAAAGAAAGGGAAAAAGAAGAGCTCTCACCCAATGGCAAAGCCAGTCCACTAGCCTACAAAACGAATGGAACGACAAGGCACTATCATCACGAGGAAAGGCCAATTGTCCTCAATCCATACACAAACCCCAAGGATGTGGTGGAAGCCTCAGTATGCCATGTGAAGGACCTGGAGAACGGACAGTAAGTGCGTCAATACGATTAGTTAGTTATTGTGTTGCAACAAAGAAAATGTGTATCAGGTATTACTTACTGTTGGGTTAGGATATAATTTCAGTTTCTGTCCAGTTCTGTTGAGAAATAAAAAAAAAATGTTGGGTTAATGTAGATTGAATCATATCAGAAATTAGTGACTGACAATTTTGTTTATTACTCTTGGCAGGGCCTAGGCTGTTACTGCAAAAGATTCTGCCAAGCAGATTATTGGCAGAGACAATCTTTAAAGTTAATTAAGCAATAGAAATGTTTATCTATTTAATGTTAAATCTATTGTCTGTTTAATAACTTATTTTGTATCTGATATGGTATTTTAATTTCTCCTTACTTTAGCTACGATGAGCTACCAACAATGCAATGGTTAAAAGCATGTAGCTGAATTTCATTAGGCTAGGGAATGAACATTATTACTGGTATATTTGTGTTGTAACAAAGTAGGCCATTTTAATACTAGTAAGTGACTTATCAAATACACTAATTATTACATTATTTTGTTGGTGGCCCTCAAATGTCATCGTACTGGGTCAGTATCCTGCAGAGCCGGATTAAGGTGTGTATGAAAGAGTGTGTCCAAGTAAAAAGGTTTTCAAAAAAAAAAAAAAAATTAACTACTACTGAAATACAGAATTATATCAGGGAGTATAGGTTATGGTTTCTGTTTGTATATCTATATTTGTGAACGAACATACGATTGGCATGTTATAATTGATAACATAAAAATGTTTTTCATGCTGGTGCTAAATATTTAGCCATGGCAATTTACTGAGCTACTTTTTGTATTTTTTTCCTGCCAGGATGCGTGAGGTTGACATGGGATGTGGTAAAGCCTTACTAATTAAACAGAATGGGGAGTACTACGCAATGGGACACAAGTGTCCCCACTATGGAGCTCCACTAGTGAAAGGTCTGGACAAATTGTGAATAATTTTAAAGAGATAATGTGTAACAATCACTGTATTACATCATTTCTCAATTTCAGCTGGTTGTGCTAGCTTGTTTTTTTTAAAGCATATTTTAAGAAATGTGCTTCTGTTTCCCAAAGTTTCTCCAGTAAGCTGATACTACTCTTGGTTACAATGACATATAACAGTATAAATAAGTGTCAAGTGATTTCATATTGCTTTACGCTTTCATACATTGTAATTGTGGACCTCGGTGTAGCAATAGGTTGACTTCATGACATTGTGCATCACAATAATATAATTCTTATCTTTTAGTCCGTAGTTTCTACATAAGGTTTAAAGGGTGTCCTTTGTAAATCAACTGTCGACATAAGGATAACATATCATAATCTCACTTTTTCTGTCACATATAATCGGAGATAACTGTCATTGATTTCAATGAGCGTGTAGTGTATATATGAAAGTTTTGATCTTTATTGAACCTTATTTATGAGTTTAATTTCAGTTTACATAATGGGTGCTGTGTATAAAGGTTTATTCTGAAGCAATTATTTGAATGTATAAACACTGACATGGAGGTATTAAATGCTTTTTACTAATGCTCTTCTTTATGAAGTTAGGTCTTTCTTTTTGTAATTTTTTTTAGATGTTTTTTGTAGTTTTATTGAGATGTAAGCAGTTTACAGGAGAAAAGTAGTGCCAGTAAACGTCAGCATATCAACGGAAAGTTCATGTATTACATGTTGGAAGTAGGTAGGCTTTACATATATTCGTGCGAACCCTATGGGATATATAGAAACAAATCAAATCAAAATCTGCAGATACAATAAAGCAAAACTTTTGGCAGGAGGCCAACTTGACATATGCCTCAGCGTCTGGACTACTAGTGAAGCTGGAAAAATAAGAAACAGTCCCTGGCACAGGTAGGTTACTTGGTGATTCCCAATTGTGAAGCAAGATTCTGTGGTTCCCTATAAAGGCCCGTAGAGTAGCGAGCCACCTTGGGAGAAGAAGAGCATGGGCACAGTACCTTTCAAGCCACACACCCCAGGTTTAGGTTATTGTACAGTGGTGGTGGTACAGGGGGTTTGCTTCCTCAGATGCTCTCCTGTAGAAGGTCAGTGAAGTAGACTCCATCGAGTTGCACTTAATCAGTGTAGTACCAGGCCTTATTCCTGGCATGGTTGCTGAGGCTGCAGTATAGTATGCCAGACTAATGGTGCCTGTATGTTACTTCTGTATACTTCCAAGATTCTGTGTGCTTATTGTGTATGTTTTTACTATACAGGTGTGTTGTCTAAAGGTAGAGTACGGTGCCCATGGCATGGTGCGTGCTTTAACATAGCAACAGGGGACATCGAAGATTTCCCAGGCTTAGATGGTCTGCCAAAATTTCAGGTATTCTACGCTAAATGTATAAGTACTATTTTTTATAAATAATTGTATAGACAGAATACATTGTGACTATTTTTGTCATTTGAGATAGAGTGATAGAGAACAAGTCTCATACTGTTCTTCTGATTGCCTCAGATTTTTAAAATTGGGAAACTGCGGATGGTTAGCACATCCCACGAAGTACTAAGGATAAATATTTCCCACAGTGTACAGGAATATAATTAAACATCTAAACACAAAATAAAACAATTCAAGTTGCCAATAGTTCAGGGGAACAAGAAAAATGTTTAATGAATCATGAAGACTTATAAGATAGACTTGAAACTTTGTATAAAACAGCTGAGCTGAAAAACAAGGCAACAATGTATAGCAAAGGAAAGTATCAAATGAACACTGGTACCATTCATCATAAATTGCAACAAAATAAGTTCAATAAAGAGAAAAGAAATGTTGTAACAAGTCCCAGCAAACAGATTCTTTATGCAGGGAGTCCATGAGAATATCAAACTGACGAGACTACTAGCATCCAATTATCCTACTTAGGTGGATCCTTGGTTTGTTGGTCTTGTCTTAGAGTATGGCTATAGTCTGTAAAAAACAAAACAGAGAACAGTTATCAAAAGGCTGAATAAGAACCAGATAACCTTATGTTTTAGAAAAACAAACTACCACCAGCAGAGAAAACCTGGAGGAGGGTGGGACGGGCGCTATTGCTAGGTGGTTATGCTCATCATAGATTCCTGCAAACTCTGATTTGTCCTCCGGGAGGCATAACCACGTAGCAAAGCTAGTGGGTAGAATAGCACACACCTGGTGGTGGTCCTAAGAAACTGAAGGCGTTCAACTTCTTATGGCTTCCAGTAAAATCTATCAAAGATTTTACTGGACAACCATCTCGCAGCTTTCAAGATAGTAGGGAGAGGAAGGCCCTTTCCAGCTGCTTTAGTAGCCGAGGCTCCCCTAATTGAATGGCTTTTGTATACGGAAACATCAGTACCAGTTGAAGACATGGCAGAAAGTATCCAGCCTTGAATTAACCTTGGCTGGACGAAAGGGATTCCTGGATGTAATGAATAATTGACTGATATAATTTCTAAATACAGCAGAAAGTTGAAGGTACGATTGTAACAAACTGACTAAACATAAGCCTGGTTCAGAAGGATCTTGGACCAAGAGAAAAATTTGATTTTTTTTGTCTGCCTTTTAGTATAATATGGAAACCTCCCGCGGTCCTGGACAACCAAGGATCTGAAATATGGATTTGAGTTAACTTTGCTCCTCTAGCTGCCAGGGCCAAGGACAGCAGAGAAGCCAACTTAATAGCAGTCCATCTTAAATCAATTTTGGTATTATCCAAAGACTTTAGGAAATTTAATAAGACATCTACATCCCAAGTAGATGTGTAGCGTGGGGTATATGGGCGGCAGACGGATAACCCTTTTAGTAATCTCAAATACAGGGCATCCTGAGTAAGGTTGGGGATCAGGAAGTTTAAAGCAGATCCATAGGTCTTGATTGAGCTGACAGATAAATCAGAATGGAACTTAAGGGTAAGAAATTCTAAAGCCAATGGAACGGTATCAAATCCCTGTGTGTTAGACAGAAAAGAAACCTCCCATTCTTTGAATTCCTCGATCATCTTTCTATATCTTACCTTAGTTCTACGTCTTAAAGATGAGTTAATAATATCCAAGACCTGATCCGATAAAAGGGGATGTGTTAACAGCCTATCAGGGCTGCGATCCACATCAGCTGCGGGAGCTTGAGCAGAAGATCGCTGGTTCCCTGAAAGCAGTCCACTGTCATGCCCAATGGGATCTTGGTTCCCTTGACTAACTGATGGATCAAGGGATACCAGGGTCTGGAGGTCCATACTGGATAAACGAGAACTAAGCTCTGCACCCTGTCCCTGCGGATCTTCTCCAGCACTTTCATCAGTAAAGATGGAGGTGGGAAAGCATAAGGGGCTGGAACATCCGTCCATTGGAAAGACATTGCATCCATTTTCCAAGCTCCCTTTGTCCAGGTCCGGGAGACGAACCTGGGAGTTTGTGCAGATGTTTGGGATGCAAACAGATCTACCGGTCTCTGGCCAAAATTGCTTTCTATCCATTGGAAAAGAGCAATCTTTAATTGAATCGTTGCCAGGGACAAACTTTGGCGAGAGAGAGAGTCTGCAAGCTCGTTTGCCTTTCCCGGAACATGTTCTGCAAAAACCTGAACATTGCTTGCTAAGGCCCAAGACCAAAGATCTAGAGCCTCTAAACAAAGATCTTGTGCTCGCTGTCCTGTTGTCCGATTGGACTTTTACCGACGTCGGAGTGACTGCCACAGGCTGCTCTAACAGGGGACGAGGAAGTGGAATTTCTAACTCCAGAATGGACTTCAATTCTTCTCTGACCTTCTTGGGGAGAACAAATTTTGATTCCCGCCCTGTCTTAGTCAATTCCCTAAAAACAGCTGACTTCTTCTGTAAAGTAAGGGGAATTGTTGTATGCTGGTGTTAAAGCTATTAATTTCTCCGATAATCTTTGCTAGGTCTCTCAAGGACCCACTCTGGGGCTTGAGAGATGAGTTCAGATGTACCAGTAATTTGTCCTATTTGTCTTAAGGGATTCCTAGAGACATAGTCCTGCTGTTCAGTATGAAACCCAGAAAGAGGATGCTTTGAGTGGGAATTAGGACTGATTTCTGTAAATTTACTACAAATCCTAGGTCTTGTAAAAGGGAAGCAAGGTAATCCCTTTGAGAAGCAAGGGCTTCCCCATCTGGGTGCATGAGTTTGATGTCGTCTAGATAGTACAGACACATCAAACCTTTTAGTCTGACATGAGCTATCACTGATTTCATAATTCTGGAGAATGTGTATGGTGTGTTGGATAGGCCAAACACCATAACGGTCCACTGCCACACTTTTCCTTTCCACTGCCTCCAACGCCTGTGTTTCTTGGCTATGGGGACTGAATGGAAGGCATTTTTTAGGTCTAACTTTATGCAGAAAAAAGATTTCTGTAATAAGCCTGGAAGATCTGATAAACCCTCCATCCTAAACCTTTTCCACTTGATGAAAGCGTTCAGAGACCTCACGTTTAGGACCGGTCTCCAGGAACCGTCTGATTTTGGGATTGGGAACAATGGGCTGACCCATCCTGTAATAGACATGTCTGCCAATTCTATCTTCCCTTGACTTTAAGCTAAGGAAAGGGAGGCATCTAGCACTGGGTTCACTTCTCTGTTGGGTGCAAATTTCTGGACTGGGAACCTTAAAAGGGGGAGTTGTAAACCCCTTTAAAAAAATCTTTAGAACCCATTTGTCTGAGGAAATATCCTTCCAGTTTAGTGGCATATGAAGAGGCACACTTACTTGATTGCATGGGTTTTCTTTTGGAAGCTGAACCGCCTCTGTAATGCGCTCCTCTGCCACCGCCTGAGAGCTTGCGATTTGAGGGCTATGTCGGACAGACCTGCTGCATGGAGTCAGCGGGATCTGCGGATGTTTGATATGTAATTAAAGGATTGGCCAATAATTAGCACTGCCCTGCCAGACGCTTTTAAAAGAGCCATCTTAGATGCCAACAGAGATGAAGCGGAAGGTTTCTGAGCATTGCCTTCTTTTTCTGCCTTATCCAGCATCAGTAATAGTGGGCCCACAGCATCAGCAATTTTGAACTGTATATTGCGAAAAGTCTGGTCTGTGGGATCAGAGGATACGCTGCTCCCTGTGATAGATAACAGAGCAGGATCTACCTCTGGGGTAATTAAAGCCTGAATGTCCGGGATACCAATGTGGTTCCTGAGGAGAAGGTCATCCTCCTTAACCAAGGGGGATCTGAAGGCTAGTTTAGCGAAATCTCTAACCTCAGAATCGTGCTCCATAGCCCATCTGGAGTGAAATAATTTTGATGGGAGAGTCTTTCCTAGGAGACTTACTCTGGCCATCTAAACATTGCTTAGCTTCCCTCGCTCAGTGGAAGCTGCTGAATGTACCACTTCCTCGGATTCCCAGTCTATTTCTGGAGAGTTGTATCTGGAACTGGAACGGCTTTGGGAGGAAGAGTGAGCGAACTAGCTTTGTTAGGTGGTTATGCCTCCCGGAGGACAAATACAAATTCTGATACCTGTTACCAGAGTTATATGGTAAATACATTAATTAGCTGTTGTTAATTAATATGTGAGCTACATTCTACTATTCTATAATTATTATTTTTGTTATAAGAACACTAGTACGTGTTCCATCCCGATTTATGTCAATATTAGTTTCTATAATATTTATATTGTAGGTGAAGATCGAGAAGGAGCGAGTTTATATAAGAGCAAGTAAACAGGTGAGTGGTGATATTAGATTTTGTTTTGTCATGTTCTTATTTATGTATCTCTCAGTATTTTCAAGTCACATGTGACTTCAAACTATTACCTATTTAATATATTTTTTATAATATCTTTCAATAGTATTTCATGTGAAATGTTACATTATGATTTGGTTTTCAGGCTCTTCAATCACAGAGAAGGACCAAAGTTATGGCAAAATGTCTAGCTCTCAGTAACTATAGCACTGCGATTACCAACATTCTGATCATTGGAGCAGGTAAACCAATTCAATACTATTAACTATTTCACCTAGATCAGTAGAGTTCATTAGGCCAACATCAATAAGTTGATAGTACCTGATACTACTGATGTCTTCTAGTGGATTTCATTCACTGGTTCACTTTTTTTTTTGGGAACATTATGATGACTTATAGCACACTGACCGATAGAAAACTGGTATTTTGATATAACTACCTATTTACCCACATATATCATTGAGGATCAGAATTTAGAGTTATTTTGAATGTTTTATCTCCGCCCAGGACCTGCTGGTTTAGTATGTGCCGAAACTCTAAGGCAGGAGGGATTCTCTGACAGGATTGTAATGTGCACCTCAGAAAAGTATTTGCCCTATGATCGATCCAAATTAAGTAAAGTAAGTACTTGTTTAATGACATTTATATGTGTATTTTGAGTTTGTTATTACTAACTGACTGATTTTTCATATAACATTAATAGGTGAACAAAAATAATATTTATTTTACAAACTTGAATTATCATGTTGAAATATTAACTGTTGATTCACAGTTGTGTCTATAAAACCTTTCACAAAACTGTGAATGGAGCTGTGAGTTCACTGATAAATGCCACAGTACCGTAAAGAATTGCAGCAAACCCGGAAGCATCGAAGATCAGCATCATTTTATTTATTATTTATATTTAAAATTCATATATTTAATTCATGCATACATGCATGTCAACTCCATCTTTCAGTGAAGTTCTGTGTTTTACTTGAAGTGTGACTGTTGTAAAGTTAACAACTTACTATGTTACACTGAACCCTGTCACCGTGTCTCATTTTGGGTGAAGATCCAAAGGTCAAGAACCAGCCTCCTTGATGGAAAGAGTGTGTCCATTCATATTGAAATTTGTAAACTATAAATACTAGTACATTTCCTACCCCAAAGCCAAACATTCGTAGACTACAGATCCACTTAAAAAATAACCTTCTTGATCACCTTGTGCAGGGGAGGGAGGAGAGGGTGTTAAGTACTGCATTGTAACTGTGCTAGGGTTAGCTAATGTTGGCAAAGTTAAAAGTATAACATTTACAGCTGTCTCTTTAGAACTAAGTTCTAGTTAAAGTTATGTGTAATTTTTAGGGTCAGCTGAAAGCCCTTACAGTAAAACTGACCCAGACACCTGCTTGATGAAATAAAGCTGCTTGTGTCCTAATCCTATATTAATTTATATATTTTAGTCTATGGATTCTCAGGCTGATCAGATTTTGCTTCGCTCTAAGGAGTTCTTTCACACGTATGACATTGAAGTTCTGACAGAAACACAGGTAAGGAATTTGAGTAATTAATGTATAAAGTTTATATAATTTATTTTGTGACTAAAGGGTCTGATGAAAACATAAATACATGTTTATATAAAACAAAGAATACAATGTGACCATCCTCCATAATTCCACTCCTATTCACAAAATATCAGAGCAGGACACAAACAAACTATTAATATCTTTCCAACAAGCTATTGGTTACTGGCTAGTGCCCTGGACTTTATTTGTATTCCTTTATTATTCACATGTTTTGACCAATAGACATCCTAAACCCTTTTTTCAAATATGTACTAATAAATCCCAAATGTTTTTGTAAAAGGACATGATTAAGAGTTATTCCTTTAAGAACCTATATAGTTTGTACCCGCTCTATGTAAGTTATTTATTAACTAGTGGTAAATATTGCATTTTCTGAGAAATTGCAATAATTACTATTCAGGGTTAACTCCACCTCTAGTGGCTGTCTAGCAGACAGCCACTAGAGGGACTTCCTGAATTGAAACAGACTATAGTCCGGTATCTGACGCTGGACATCCTCACGCTCTTTATGAGGACCTCCAGCGTCAGATTTTTCCCATAGACAAGAATTGAATAATGATTTCCTATGGATAAATCCTAATGCGAGCATGGCCATTGTCACACATGCGCATTAGGTCTCCATTGCCGGCTGATATTGGGGGGGGAGAAGCGTGGACAGAGCCTGACCCAGCGCAGAGGGACATTGAGGGAGGGGCATTGTAGGATTCTATAGTGCTAGGAAAATGGCTTTGTTTTCCTGGAACTAGAGTCCCTTTAATGAAGCAGTTTTGGTGTATAGATCATGCCCCTCCAGTCTTACTGCTCAATTCTCTGCCATTTAGGAATTAAAACACTTTGTTTATGTAGCCAGGGCTACATGGACAGAAACAAAAGTGGTTTTAACTCCTGAATTGCAGTGAGTTTGAGTGGTGAGAATGCAGGTGCATGATCTATGCACAAAAAGTGCTTCATTAAGCTAAAGTTGTTTTGGTGACTATTGTGTCCCTTTAACATTTGTGCCTAGAATTTAAATTTGGCAGCAGGACACATACAGATTCTTACTCCCAATATAAGTAGAGTTTGATCAGTAAGCACTGATTTGTGGTGAACTGAAAAGTAAATGCTAAATTTATCCTAAACCAGCCATATAAATCAGATGGAGAATTATTCCAAAAGAGCACTATTTTGCTTAAATTATGCAAATCACTTTCAGTTTTACTAAAATTCAGTGTTTTTAATTTAGTGAACAATGACCTCTAATAATGTTCACTGCCACCAGAATAAATACATTGCTGGCATATGTCCATGGTTCATGTTTACAAATATTTTTGAAGAGTTCTTTGAATTCACATTCTGCAGAAATGATTTCAGGTCATCAGTGTGGACACGAAGAATAAGATGGTGGTTTTCAAGGATGGATTCCGAATGGAATACAATAAACTGCTGATTGCAACTGGAAGCACGTACGTTCAAACCTGTTAACAGTTTGGAAATGTTAAATACCTTTTATATAATTTTAAAACATTACATTGATAATACATTAAAATGTAAAAAAATGCATGAAAATAAAAACATACATATCTTTTAATGTATCATTGTTTAGAACTGTTTGCTTGGACTACAGCTACAGGCAGTTTTACTTCTAATCAATAAGGGACTCTTATTTTTTAAACCTTTCAGCAGAGGTTTATGGGAAAAGCATTTTTCTTCACCAAGTGCATTTTCTCTCATTACACACAATAAGTGGAATGGCCCTGTAAACTGATAGTACCAATACGGCAGCAGCTAGCTCCTTACATAGAGCCCAGTTCACTGAGATATGTGCACCAATCGGAATAGACAAGTTGAACAAAAGTGGCATTGATTAGCTAGAGCTGGGCATTCCAGTTACTTGATTGACAGCTGTGAGAGGCTGTCTTGGAACTGCAGTAGTCCTAACCCTCTCTATGAACCATCAGCTTTGCAGCTATGCACAGTTGTAGTGGTTTTTAGAGTAACCCTTTAATGTATGATACAAAGGGCAGAGCCATACAGAGGAAATCTTTCAGGTAATTATCTAGCCCTCTTACCCTCAAGTAACATAACTTTTACAGTCTCTTGTCCCTGGTAGTTTGTGACAGAGTTATATATCTTTCCTGACTCCTGCATATTGTTCTGCATTGAAATATATGAATTGTGATATTCCATTATTCACATATACCATGTGGTTCGAAGGAGAGCAGGTGTGAAGCTGTATTTTGAAACTACAACACTAGACCACCATATGTAGGAATCTAAGTACGTGAAGGCCACCTGCAGCTTTTGCAACATCATAGATGTTCCTCATTTTACAGGTTTACATTCCCTGCACAGTCACAGTTATTCATGAAAGTGTGAATCTGTCAAATTCTCCGTGACAGATATATTTTTAGTTTGGCTCTTCCGACCTAAAATGGGATATTTATTTTGAATTCTCTGACAATTTATGAGTTTATGACAATTCTCACTTAATGGGACACTGTAGACACTGTAACTGCCTCATCACATTGAAGTAGTTATAGTGCCTGGAGTTCCCTGGCTCCATCCTTCCATTAAATGTTAAACCATTTTTTTTTTGACAATCTTTATTTTTGTATTTCCAAAAGAGAACATCAAGGCAGGCATATCAGATAAACAGAAAACCATATAAAAAGTATCATGTATCGGCTGACCAAGATTCACAAGTAATCAGGTTGGGAGGAACCTCACTGGCCATGCAGTGGCTTAGGTTAATTAGGGTACATGTGAATAACATCAACATAGGAATAGTATTCCGTGGCACCCAGTCCGGGTCCCACAGGAAGTCTACTTGACATGTTTCCAACATACGGAGCTACTTGGGGTGGGAAAGTGACTCTCCCCCTGCAGTCCCCTGGGTTATTATTGATGGGGCATCCCTCCAGGTCCCAGGCAGGGTGGTCAGATATGTGAGTCCATACAGTATGGCATTTGATAATTAAGATGTACTTGGTAGGGGGTTAAACCATTTTCAATGGTTTAAATTTAAATGAGAGTCCTTAGCAGCCCATTCCCTCTGTGCTGCACAGGCTAATGTAGAAGCATTAATCTGAGCAGAAATGGATACCCGGCAGAACGAGACTAAGCAAAGCAGAAACGTCAGTTTGGCTGATAGCTGTTGGAGGGAGAGTCTGCCGTTATCTGGCCAGTCCCTCAAAAACTGTAGGACAACTTCAACGTCCCATAAGCGGGAGTATTTGGGTCTCAGAGGTCTCTGTAATCGGATGCCCCTCAGGAGTCGGCATCTCAGTGGGTCTTTCCCAACGGGTATCCCCAGGACTGGTATGTGGGCCGCCGAAATCGCGGAGCGCACAACATTGAGGGACCGGTAGGACTGACCTGCGGAAAAAAGATAGGAAAGAAAATTCAGGATGGCCGTTATAGGTGCAGTAAAGGGTTCACAGGTTCCGTTCACTGCACCAAGAGGACCAGGAATTCCAAGCTGATAGGTAACATTGTCTGGTTCCTGGTGCCCACGAATCCCATATGAGATCTCTAGCCATTTGCGATAATTCGTCGGTCTGCCAGGCACCCCTGAAAGAGTCCAAGCCACCAAGGCGAGACGGTCTTCCAGGATGAGAGGGTGAGGGTTCCCTTTCGGATCCGTGAGGAGCTTTGGATAAGATGTTATGAGGAGGGGATCCATGTAGGATGACGCTAGGAGATCTGGGAACGAGGGTTGGCCCCACCATAGGGGGGCGATGAGGAGAAGAGACCCGCATTGAGTCTTCAAGTACTAAATCATCCTCGCTATCATGGTGAATGGGGGAAAAGCATACGCTCCCGTGGATGGCCATGGTTGGAGAAACGCATCTGCCGCCCTGCTCTCTGGGTCTGGGAGCCAGCTGAAGTATTTGGTTGTCTATTTGTTGTTGCGTGACACGAACAGGTCCAGGTGGAGGGGACCTCTCCTGACCGAGAAGCGATGGAAGATCTGTGGGTCCAGTCTCCAGTCGATGCTGTCCCACCAGTGACGCAAGAACCAGTCTGCGGTCAGGTTCGTCTCTCCCGGGAGATATTCCGCCATGAGAGCGATTTTTCGGGGTAGGCAAAAGTCGAAGATCTCCTTCTTAATCTCTGAGAGGAGTCGGGACTGTGCTCCTCCCAAGCGGTTGATGTAGTGGACAGCTGAGATGTTGTCCATCCGGAGGAGAATGCAGCAGTCCGTCCTGTCCCTCGCTAGGCTGCGGATCGCGAAGATCCCGCCAGGAGTTCTAGACAGTTTATGTGAAGGTCGATTTCTTGAGAAGTCCAGATGCCTCCTGTCGATCTGCCTTTGTCCGTGGCGCCCCAGCCCCAGAGGCTGGCGTCCGATTCCAGGACTATGTCGGGTGTGTTCCCGAAGATGGCCTGGCCGTTCCAAGCCTCCATGCTGTTCAACCACCATCCTAGTTCTTCCTTGACCGCCTCCATTACCGGAATGGTTTGGTCGTAGGAAGGGTTGTGGTGAAGAAAGGAGGCCTTCAGCCATTGCATCGCTCTGTAGTGGAGCGGACCCGGGAAGATTGCCTGGATAGACGCGGACAGCAGGTCCACTATCTGAGCCAGGTTGCAGAGTGGAATGGTACGGCAGCGAATGACTCTGCGTAGTTCCTTTCTGATGACTGCGATCTTTGATGTCGGTAGCCGTAGTGTGCTGGACTTGGAGTCTATCTCGAAGCCCAAGAATTGTACCGTCACCACAAAGCCTAGGGATGTCAGGAATTGTGTGGTATAGCGTGTGTTGAGTCAGTCTGGACCTGTCGGAGCAAAACAGTAGCAGGTCGTCCAGGTAGATAATGCACCGAATTGCGTGTGCTCATAGATGTGCAACTACTGGCTTCAGCAGCTTGGTGAAGCACCACAGGGCTGAGCTGAGGCCAAAGGGGAGGCATGTGAACTGCCAGGGTCGGCCTTGCCATCGGAACCTGAGGAATTGCGGCAGGAGAGATGGACGGGTACTGACAAATAAGCGTCCTTGAGGTCCAGTCTTGTGAACCAGTCCCCGTCTTGGAGGAGGTCTCTCAGAAGGTGAATGCCTTCCATCTTGAAATGTCTGTACATTACATAGGCGTTGAGCCTCCTCAGATTTATGACGGGCCGGAAATCTCCGGATTTCTTTTTCACCAGAAATATGTTGCTGAAGAAACCCCTTTGGTCGTGAGCGGGTTCGATCGCTCCTTTCAATTTGGGCTCTCGTAGCTCGCCGTCGATGAGTTGGTGGTCCTCTGTGGAGCACTGTATGGGGCGCGGAGGGACGGTCTGGATTGGGGGGTCTACGAAATCGATGATGTAGCCCCGAACCGTCTGGAGGATCCATGCGTCCGCGGAGATGGCTGTCCAGTTCTGAAAAGACAGAGCGATATGACCTGCAGTATATGGGGTAAGTGGTACTTGATACACAAGATTGCTTACCTGTGGGGAAGTGTGCTTTGCCACTGCCACGTGGTCCTCTGTCTCGGTCGGCTCCTCTGGTGTAGGAGAAGGGTTGCCTGAAGCCCACTTCTGGGTAGAAGGGTTGAGGTCTATGTGAGCGGGGGCCAGAGGGCCAAAACCGGCTGGCTGCTCAGCCCCTTTGGCGGCCAGCCTGTCCAAAAAACACCCCGACTGGGGTAGCCCCTGAAGACGCGTTTCATAGAAGTCTGAGCCTTATTAAAGGACGTGAATATATTAACATGTTTGTTCAGTTCTTTCAGGAAGGCTTCCCCGAACAATTTGCCCTGTGCCAGCGATCCCAACTCCTTGGTGCCCAATTCCACCAGCTTCCACAGAAGCACCTTTGTGCCCATTCTCTTATGTCATGCGCCCACTCCTTTACCATGCAGGCATCAAACTGGTCAGCCCTTGTAAATGTGTCGTTCGCCAAATACATGATGTGGGAAAGTGGGCCAATGGAGTCCAGCAGTTTGTCCTGAACTCTGTGGAATCCCTTCTCCACACCTCTCCGGGGGTCACGGCCACCACGAGGCATGAAGGTGGTCATGACCTGGTCGAGCTCCGGAGTTTGAGCCACGTGGTCGGGAAGCTAAGGGCGAGGGCATTCAGAGAGTAGGCGGTTGCGCACCATTTTGTCCAGCGGTTTGCGGAGCCACAGGTGCATACATTTAGAGAGGTGTTCGGGGGGAGTCCAGTCCCCAGAGCACGGGTGCCGGATATTACGAGGGTCGAAGAGACATTGCCCCATGGGGTCCAGGATGGTTTCCCCTTCTTCTTGGGCAGGTGCGAGGTCATCCGGCAGTTGGATGTTGTCCAAGAAAGTGCCTCGTAAGAATCCAGTACGGGAGCCAGTGTCCGACCCCAGTCATCTACCTGCAAATCGGAATCCGCGGCCTGCCATTCATCCAACACGGCCATGGAATGTGTGTGTTCTTCCCCCTCATTCGAGGAGTAGTGGGCGGGGGTAGGTGCGGCTGGCTTGTGGCGTTTGGTTGGTGCCTTGCCTTTGCCCGGATTATCGTTCCCCTTTTCTCCCTTCCAGTGGCATTTGCTAGGTCGTGAGTCAGCCTGTGCATGTGATTCTGAAGCCTCAGAATCTGTCACGTATTCATCCGCTTATAGAAATGTGGTTAATGACATTTACTGTCCACACAGGAAAAGTTGTGCCGAGCAGCAACCTAATCCACAGAAGGGTTAATGCTGAGCAGTAATTGTGCAAATGAAACCTGGTGTCATGTATTCATCCGCTTATAGAAAAGTGATTAATGACATTTACTGTCCACACAGGAAAAGTTGTGCCGAGCAGCAACCTAATCCACAGAAGGGTTAATGCTGAGCAGCTATTATGCAAATGAAACCTGGTAACTGACTTTGGGGTCAAAGGCCGGTTACAGCCTATCAGAACTAAAGGAGGGGTATTTAGGCCCAGTTCTCAGCCTGCTCAGTGCCCTGTCGTGGTTTCCCTTGTGGTTGTCTGAGAGCGCGTTCCTGTTTATAGTTTTCTACCTGGTTTTTGACTTTGGCTTTGTTTATTGACTTCTCTATATTCTGGTATCCTGACTCCTGGCTTTCCTCATCGCTGTGTCCCTTTCTGTGTTCCCTGACCTCGGCTAGTATTTTTGACTATTCTTTGTACGTTAAATCCGGCCATTCTAAGGACCGGTAATACGTTACTTATTTGTCATCCGTGCTGTACAGTTCTACGTGCTGGATCAAACAGTAATCCTGACATTACGACATGGCCATAGATCCTGTAGAACTGTGTCAGCACATAGCTGCTTGCGAGAGGAAATTAGAGGAGAATGATCACCGCATGGATCAATTCACTCAGGCTTTAAGTACGCTTCTCGCTAGAACGGAGCATCTGCAGCCTGCAGCGTCTCCTCCTATAGCACCTCTACCCTGTGTACCTCCACCCACTGTTAATAGGACTCCTTGCATCTCCTTATCACCATCCCTACAGTTTGATGGCAATATCCAGGAATGCAGGGGCTTTCTTAATCAGGTGGAGTACCATTTTGAGGCCTCACCAGGGTCATTCCCCACGGACAGAGCAAGAATTGGTTATCTAATAAATCAATTAAAGGGCAAGGCTCTTGCATGGGCTAATCCGTTGTGGGAGAGTAATCGGAGCATAGCTCATAATTACCAGGAATTCCATGCCGAATTCAAGCTCACGTTTGAGCCATTGGGTAGAGAGGATGACGCCTCCACTGCCCTAATGCACATCAGACAAGGTAACCGGTCTATCTCGGATGCTATTGAATTCCGTACCTTAGCTTCCGAGGTAGACTGGACTAACAATGGGTTAATCTCAGCATTCAAAAAGGGTCTCTCAGAGACTATACTAGATGAGATAGCCACTAAAGAATTACCTAAGAGTCTTAACGAATTTATTACGTTTGTCATGCATATTGATAATAGGTTAAGACTCAGAGAAGTCACCAGAAGCAAGACCAGACGTACGGCTATGTCCCTAGCACCTCAATTCTCTAAACCTGTTTTGTCTAACCTCCCTGTACAGTCCGAACCCGAACCTATGCAGTTGGGGGTCACTAGACTGTCAGAGGCTGAAAAACAGAATAGGAGAAGGGAGGGGTTATGCCTATATTGCGGTAGAAAGGGACATATGATAACTAATTGTCCAGTATGTCCGGAAAACTTCCGCACCTAAGAACCTTAAGGGGACAGATCTTAGGTGTGATGGAGTTGTCCTCTAACAAAAACAAAAGTAGATTCCTCCTTGAGGTATCTATTTCCCTTGATAACAAGAAGTTTTCTTGCAGTGCTCTAATGGACTCAGGTGCTGCTGGAAATTGTATTGATGTCCAGTTTATTAGGGGTAATGAGATACCGGTCAGGGAGAGACCTATGCCGCTAGCTGTAGAGGCTATTGATGGTAGACCACTCACACAACCGCTTATAACCCACGAAACTGTCCCTATTACGATCTCCATTGGGGCCTCCCATAGGGAGGAGATGACGTTTCAGGTTATTACTTCTCCATCATGTCCTATCATATTAGGGTTTCCGTGGCTGAGTAAGCACAATCCCTATATTGACTGGGCTAATGGGGAGATATTAGAATGGGGTAAAGAGTGTATGGGGAGATGTATAAAACCAGTACTAAAGAGATTGGATACTATTGACCTTCCCACTACCACTCCCCAAACTCCTGGAGTTCCCATACAATACCGAGAACTTCAGGAGGTGTTTAACAAGGCTCAATCCGATGTATTGCCTCCCCACAGAGCATATGACTGTGCCATTAACCTGTTTCCAGGCGCTATGCCACCTAAGGGGGCAGTTTATGCCTTATCTCCCCAGGAGAGTAAAATAATGGAGGAATACATCAAAGAATCCTTGAGCAAAGGGCACATAAGAAAGTCATCCTCACCAGCTGGTGCAGGATTCTTTTTTGTTGAGAAAAAGGGTGGTGAGTTACGCCCTTGCATAGACTACAGGGCACTTAATAAAATCACTGTAAAAAATGCATACCCTATCCCACTCATTTCCGAATTGTTCGATAGACTTCAGGGAGCTAAAGTATTTACTAAGCTTGACCTTAGGAGCGCTTACAATTTGGTTAGAATTAAAGAGAATCATGAGTGGAAGACGGCATTTAATACCCGTAGTGGACACTATGAATATCTGGTAATGCCATTTGGGTTATGCAACGCCCCGGCCGTATTCCAAGACTTTATAAATGATGTACTCAGGGAATTCATTTACTCATTTGTCTTGGTTTATTTGGACGATATTTTGGTGTATTCCCCTGATCTTCAAACTCACCACTCCCATGTGAAACAGGTTCTGCAGACGTTGTTGAAAAATAAACTTTATTGTAAATTAGAAAAGTGCATATTTGACCAGCCTGAAGTCCACTTTTTGGGTTACAACATCTCTGCATCGGGATTTCAAATGGATCCTAAAAAACTAGAGGCTGTACTACACTGGCCATTACCCTCTGGTTTAAAAGCCATTCAAAGGTTTATTGGTTTTGCCAACTATTACAGAAGATTCATCAAGGGATTTTCTTCTGTAATAGCCCCAATCACAAATATGACTCGCAAAGGGGTTAGTAGCACAGTATGGTCCAAAGAGGCTGTGAATGCTTTTGAGACTCTTAAACAAAGATTTGCTTCTGCGGACATACTAAAACATCCTGACACCAGTAAACCTTTTATATTGGAGGTTGATGCATCCGAGACAGGGGTAGGGGCTGTTCTCTCTCAGAGAGAAAGCCAGGGAACACCATTGCATCCTTGTGGCTACTTCTCCAGAAAGATGTCTCCTGCTGAGCACAACTATGATATTGGCAATAGAGAACTGTTGGCCATTATTCTTGCCCTCAAGGAGTGGCGACATCTTTTGGAGGGTTCCAAGGACCCCCTGTTGATCATAACCGACCACAAAAATCTGGCATATATAGGGGATGCCAAACGTTTGTCTTCCAGACAGGCTAGATGGTCACTGTTCCTTTCACGTTTTAACTTTCTCATTACTTTTAGACCTGGTTCTAAAAATACCAAGGCTGATGCCTTGTCCAGGCAATTTGATAATGAGTCAGCTCCGGAACAGATGACATCTCCTATTATTCCACCAGAGTGTATTATTGCTACTACTGTCCTCTCACTGTCTTCTCCACTGCTTGGCACCATACTGGAGGCCCAGCCTCAAGTGCCCAGTGGTAAACTGTGTGATAAACTGTTCGTTCCCCTATGTGAAAGGGTTAATATCATGAAAGTGTTCCATGACAATATAACTGCTGGACACCTGGGCATCAATAAGTCCACTGCCGCGATCACTAGATCATTTTGGTGGGTTTCACTCAGGAAAGATGTAAAGGAGTATGTGCAGGCATGTTCTGTGTGTGCAGTTTCTAAGGTGACTCATGCACTTCCTTGTGGCCTGTTTCAGCCTCTTCCTGTTCCTGAGATTCCATGGTCCCACTTATCCATGGACTTTATTGGTTGTCTGAGAGCGCGTTCCTGTTTATAGTTTTCTACCTGGTTTTTGACTTTGGCTTTGTTTATTGACTTCTCTATATTCTGGTATCCTGACTCCTGGCTTTCCTCATCGCTGTGTCCCTTTCTGTGTTCCCTGACCTCGGCTAGTATTTTTGACTATTCTTTGTACGTTAAATCCGGCCATTCTAAGGACCGGTAATACGTTACTTATTTGTCATCCGTGCTGTACAGTTCTACGTGCTGGATCAAACAGTAATCCTGACAGAATCGTAGACATGGTGTTGGGCTTTTGTGGCTTTCTTGGTTTGATCAGCTGATGCCGTCATTACCCTGGAAAGCGCTTTCTCAATAGAGGCGGAGATGGCTTCAGCAATCATTGCCTGGAAGTCCGCAGGGCTCTGGGATGCTTCCATAATGTTTAGGAGCGGGACCGGTATGGATCAGAATATTTGTTTGGCAGAGGGTGTACGTTGGGCTAGGGGTCAGTCTGTGGTGTAGATCACAGTAAGTGATGGTACCAGCGGTACCTGTAGAACACCAGCAGGGTATAAGTATATGTAAACTAAAGTATAAGCACCCCAGCAGGTTGGGTATGTAATCCAAATATGTGGTATAAGAATACCAGATTCCCCAGCAGGGTAGATTGGGTTTTTTTACTGGGCCTCACCCAGGTATGTATATATAAATAAAGATGGCACAAAATCCACCTAGTATTAAAATTACAGGGCTTCACCTGGTCATATGCATATATAGGTGGCACGAAATCCACCTGACAGCAGCAGTAGTTAATGGGACTTACTCAGTTCTATGTGTATTTAGGTGGCACAAAATCCACCTGATATAAGTGTGATTATAGTGGCCTCACCACTGAATAGGGCTAGCAACCGTTATAGCAGGTTAGTTTAAAGCTTAGAACTAACCTGATGACCCCTGCCTGGCTGGAGCATTTGCAATCTGTGTATAGTGTGGTCAGGAGCCGGAACGACGGAGATCGAAGATCTCCTAAGATGGTGGCCTTGAATCTCGTGAGATGCGAGATCCAATATGGCTTCCGGAGAGACGGGAAAGGGGTTTCCCGGCGTGCCGGCGAGTGTGATTGCAGCTGAGAGGTGGCGAGGAGAGTGGAGGGAGGAGGGTGAACGTTACCCTCAGTGCAGTTATATAAACCCAACGAACCGATAGGGTGCTGGAAGAGGACGAGGTAAAACAAAGTGGAAATAGAATATAATGGAGAAAATACCAGGACTAAATAAAAAGGTCACTGAGGGCAGTGGGGGTGGTAAGGGTAGGACAAACAGGGGAGAATCCCGGAGGTAAGAGGAATATAAATAGAAATGGGGGACAGAAAAGCCCTAAAAGACAGATAGGGACACCCCAGCACATAAAAATCCACAGATAAGGCAGTAAAAGCATACAAAACACCATAAATCAATACAATTAAGGGAAGAGCCAAAAACTCTGACCTATCTGCTGATGGAGCAGTAAAGAAAGAGGGGGAGGAGCCTCATCACTGTGAATACTATACCTCCTATTGCATTTTTGATTGGTTAATGTTTTCACTTTTCTTTACTGCTATGTGGAGTTAGTAAAGAGAGTTTAATGCAAAATAGGAAGCCGCCTGTCATGTGGTAAAATTAACAGCATAATATGTGAATTCAACTATATATATAATATTCCAGTTGTAAGTAATTTGGTCGCTTGTGTGTACGACCTGGAGATAAGAATTACAAAGTTCAGGACATGAAAAACTCTGTGATGTAAAGGATGTAATATTTGATGTAAACAATAAATGGGCAGACAAAGTGACTGCTATTTTACAGCTCTGCAAAGAACAGAAACTTGTTACTACAATGCTTAAAACTTCTGTATATTTAAATAAAAAAACAAAAACAAAAAAAGTAATATCACTTATTCTTTTCAATAGCCCCAAAACGCTCACATGTAAAGGAAAAGAACTGGATAATGTATTTACACTAAGAACTCCTGAGGATGCCAACAGGGTGGTGAAGCTGGCAAGCAGCAGGAATGCAGTGATTGTTGGAGCATCCTTCTTGGGTGAGAAGCTGGTTTAAATATTAGTGATTTGTGGTTAACAAGTCACAAAATGTAATTGTAAAAATATATCCAGATTAGTTACATTTGTTCTTTTTTTTGCCTCAACTTTACTATTTTGGTTCTAATGTTCAGGCCTCGTAACTGTCCCAATTTCAGCAGGACAGTCTCATTTCCAGGGACCTGTCCCACTTTCCTGGTGTTGTTTCTTGCAGTGCGGGCTTCAGAAGTGCTCTCTGCATGTTTTGCTTTTAGTAGGGTCAGCCGGGAGGAACGCTTTGACACAAGACTGACACATACATTCTGAGGTTGCGTCACTTTACATTTAGTGAAATTCAAAAACTGGAAAGCACATTTCCTGTTCAAACCAATAATATTTATATTGTAATACTCTTCTGCATTGATTTTGTGTCAGTGTTGGCGATGTTCTAATAAACTTACTCTCCTGCTGTTTTTTTTTTTTTTACATTTCACCATTTGTTCACAAAGTACATAACTCTACCAGAAAAAAAATGTTTTTGTCATAGATTCATTATTCTCAATGACATATACCTGACATTCACTTTGATTGGCTTTCTCTGCCATTCTCCTACTACAATTCTATAATACATTCTTGTACTACAATCTCATCATACAAAGCAGATTTTGAACCAGCAACTAGCCCCAGCACATAATTAAAAACATCTCAGTAAGAAACATTGCACATACATACTCCATGACCACTTCAAATCACTGAAAGTGGTCATGGTGGCTGAAGTAATCTGATTCTGATGTAGCCCAGATTGAGAAGCTCCATTTGTCAGCCTAAATTATTATTATGTTATTATGTTATTATTTATATAGTGCCATCAAATTCTGCAGCGCTTTATAATGGGTGGACGAACAGACATGTAATTGTAACCAGACAAGTTGGACACACAGGAACAGAGGGGTTGAGGGCCCTGCTTACATACTAGAGGGAGTGGGGTAAAGTGACACTAAAGGTAAGGATAGTATTAGACTAATGACAGTTGCAAGAGAGGAATCAGTCGGGAGCTATTAACAGTTTAATTGATACGCTTTTATGAAGAAGTGGGTTTTTAATGATTTTTTGAAGGAGTGGAGATTGGGTGAACATCTAATGGAGGAGGGAAGCGAGTTCAACAGGAACGGTGCAGCCCTCGTGAAGTCTTGAAGGCGAGCATCAGAGGTGGGAGTACGGACAGAAGATAGACGTAAGTCTTCAGCAGATCATAAGGGCCTAGACGGGACATACTTGTGTATTAGGAAAGATAGATATGTGGGAGCAGCATTATGTAGAGATTTGAAAGCAAGAACCAGAATTTTAAATTGAGCCCTATATCTAACAGGAAGCTAATGTAGGGACTGACAGAAGGCTGAGGCATGGGAGGTGCGGAGAGGACATGTAGATTTCCGTGTCATCTGCATAGAAATTATATTGGAAGCCAAAGGAGCTAATGAGTTTACCAAGGGAGGCAGTATAAATGGAGAACAGTAGGGGACCAAGGACTGAACCTTGAGGGATGTAGCGGTTACCTCAGGTAGCAGAGGGGTTTCCACCGCTGGAGGGTGTCCTTTTCCCGATCAGTGAGGAGGATTCTCAGCATCCAGTCGTGATCCAAGTGAAGAAGCTCTTACAAGAGCTAGTGTGAATTGCTCTATAAGAGACAAGACTCTAGATTAAAGGTGAAGAAGAATTGAGGTTTAATGGCAGGTACTCTCCTTTTATTCAGTGCTCCCATGCAAGGGAGACACCCACAGACAATTATACATTGACCAATCAAACAATGGTTACAACCCACATATTCCCTCCCCTTTGCTTGGGAGATAATTGAGTTACTTACTGTTTATACTCCATTATCTCCAAGCTGAAAAATCATACTTTTTATACATTTTTCTAACTTCTTGATTTTACATTGTATACAAATAAATATATATTATATATTTATACCCAGTATAACATGGGGAACCACATATGTAAAAATCACATGAATCCGTCCAGGGGTTTGGGAGACAGATAAAAGTTTCTTTGGACCGAATTTTCCCATTCGGATAAAGTTCAAATTTCACGAACGGATTGATTCGCGCTTAGTCTCTTTAGAAGCAGCTTGTTCGGGAGTTTATTCTGGTGAAAGAGCGCTCCGTTCATATGAGTTTAGCCGAACGCACGGAAGATGGAAGTTTCAGCAGTGTTAACTTTTGCCGCTCTTGAAAAAGGCGCCACACAGCGCCGAAACGCGCGTCGAGTTAGTTAGAAGTTTTACCTAGCCAGTTATTCTCTACTTTATTTAACGTTTGACTGAGCCTTAGGCAGACTTCTTTTTTCCAGAGAGTTAGTCAGAAGTTTTACCCAGCCAGTTATTCTCTACTTAATGTTTGACTGAGACTTAGGCAGACTTCTTTTTTCCAGAATTTAGTTAATAGTCCAGCCTATCTAGTTACTCTTCATACTACTCTAAACGTTTGATTTAGAAGCTAGGCGGACCTCTCTTCTCTCCTTTTTTTGTATACTCTGAACAATCAGCCCAGCCTATTTAGATATATCCTGTTCACTTTGATATTTATATTCTAACTTTTAGATCTGGGCGGTTTCGTTTTTATTCATTTTTTTCTCTCTTTACTGCATAGCTATACTACATGGGGTCAGGTATCTGTGGGTGATGTGCCTGCTGTTTGAGAGAATTGTTTAGGAGATTTTCTCCCCTTTACCTAGGAGGCAGGGGTTGATTTTTGGAGCTGTGTTTCACCCTTAATCAGCTCAGATTAGTGCAATATTGCATCTTTTTTCTTTGAAGTAACAATTGCAGGATACATAGAATTAGTTATAAGATTTGATAACATTTTTGCTACTATTTAGCAATACACTTCCAATATTGCTACCCTGTCTGCCTTTGCAAGCACTTGTTACTATTTTTGAAATGTGGGGCTGACTAGTATCTAGATGAATTGAGATATCTGGGTATCTTTATATATTAGAAGATTTCTTCCGGAATTTTCTTACTCCTCTCTACTTATAATTTATACTCTTGATCCTAGATTTATCTCACTAGTATAGTCAGCACCTCTGCCCGGTCTATTTACTATCTACCTAACGGGCGTTAGAAGCTTGCCATAAACTCCAGGGAACCACAACCTGTTTATTGGATGTTATTCCCACAATAGCAGTTTGATTATATTTCGTGCAGACACTCCGGTTTATCTAAGATTTTCGTGCAATATGTTACATCTAAGACACTCCATCAGGACGTGCTTTTCTGGCTTATAAATTTGCCATATACGTAACCCTTTACTGTACCTGCCTTGCTGCCTCCCATTGTGGTACTATAGCCTCATAGACCATGGGACATCCCCCTACCCTGGACCCCTTGTAATATATGTATTATATATATATTTTTTCTATAGTCTCTATACGTCTTTTAATATAGTATTTTTTATTTTTATCCTACTATTTTCTATTTGTGTAAACCAAGGGATTCCATACTTTCTAATGTGGGCATACCCTTAGTCTGGGATGCTGTGGTAGATGGAACTTCGCTCCTCTCTCCACACACCCTTATCTTTGGGATTCTCTCTATTATTAGTGGAAAAGAGTAGCCAAAATGGTTCGACAACAAAACACCGCTGAGTGCGTAAACAAAATGGCCGCCGCTACGTGTTCGTGCAAACAGATTCGGTTTGTGAATGGCTTTTCCATTATCGTCAATTTAGATGAAGGTTTTTAAATGAATGACTTGTTCACAATATTACAGATCCAACGAAAAACAGGGAGATCTGTTACAAGGGACACCAACAGAGGGGAGTTGGGGAGAAGAAGCAGAGCCAGAGAAAGAAACATTGAAAGAGCGCTGGGAGAGGTAGGAGGAGCACCAGGAAAGAGCAATATCTTGTAGACTGATATTGTGGAGGACGAGAAGAAGCTGTTGATGCTCAACCGTGTCAAAAGAAGTAGACAGGTCAAGGAGAATAAGGATAGAGTAGTGACCACGAGATTTTGCCGCGAGTAGATCATTGGATACTTTGGTCAGTGCCGTTTCCACAGAGTGCTTAGAGCAGAAACCAGACTGAAGTGGATCTAGCAGAAAGCTGGACTCGAGGAAGTCTGTCAATGTCACATACACAACTCTTTCACGGATCTTGGATGCAAAAGGCAGTAGCAAGATAGGACAGTAGTTGGATGGTGAGTTAGGGTCTTTAGAATTTGGGTTATAGTTGCATGTTTGAAGGGCGATGGAAATATACCAGAGGAGAGAGAGATTGAGCATTTTAGTGAGAGGTGGAGAAAGAGAAGAAGACAGAGTACGGATGAGATGTGAGTGAATTGGATCTAAGGAGCAGGTGGTGGGGCGGGAGGACTGGAACAGAGCAGAAACCTCTTCCAATGTAGCAGGTGCCATATTTATGCCATATTTAAAAACTTGTCTTAAAAGAACACAATCCTATCACTTTACTTAGCTGGTCTTTTACTGTAGTTTATGCCAGAAACAAATATTTTCACCACTAGATGGTTTTTATTTATTTTTTTTTTTTTTTTAGAGAGCCATTAGACAGAAAACATAATCATTAGTTTTGTCCATCAAATATCATACCTTGGTGACTGTAAGCTTTTCATGTACATAAAATTTGTGAACAACACAACAGTTACTTGTTGGAGGGTGAGTGATCTGCCAAAAATGGTGTTAGCGTGGAGCATTTTTATGTATTTTTCACTATTTCATAATTATTTATAAAACACCGTTTTCCTAAATGAAATGCAGATGGAAAAATTGAGGCAAAAAAGCTGATAAAAAAATCTCCAACTTTGCTAAAAAGTCACAATTTGGTTCTTTTTGCCTGTTTTACAATTTATAATGTGTGAGATTTCAGAGTTTAGTGAATAACTCCCTTTTTTACGTGCATTCCTACATTTACTGAAATTGCATTCAAGAACTGAAAAACTATTGATTGTACTCATATTCATTTTCATGACATTTATTTTAAATATAGATTACTGATTTATTGCTCGTTATTTATTTATTATATTGTCTTGCAGTTTGTATTCACACTGATCATTTCTTTTTTGACTCTGTATTTAATTGTATATTTCTGTATATTTGTCTGCCTACCTATGTCTGTTTATCTGTGTATTTCTGTTCACATGTGATTCGCACTCTTGTAAACAGTACTTAAAATATTTTTTTTAAGTATGCTTCAAAATCCAAGTTATGCTCTCAGTTCATGAAAATATTTGTTTGATGTGTAATTCATCTCAATAAATCCATCAATAAGTTTGTAGAACAGTGCATTTTATATTTTACTAGCTTTTAAAAAAATCGTTTAGTTCACATCCACATTTATTCAGGTTTGTTAAATTTATGTAGTGTAACATTTTCAGTAGTGATATCTGTACCCATTTATCCACAATTAGGTATGGAGGTAGCAGCATATCTGTGTGAAAAGGCTCACTCTGTCTCTGTGGTAGAACTGGAGAATATTCCCTTCAAGAAATTCCTGGGGGAAAAGGTTGGACTTGCCATTTTAAAGGTATTTAATAAATGAGCCTTGACTTGAAGGATATAATTTTCTTATTATTAACCTTTATTCTTAATTAAAATTGTATTCTTTTGTAGTGTAATAGTTGTCACCGTTAGCATTAAATTGTAGAGGGATGTTCAGGGAGTGTACGTAATTACCGGTACGTAATTGCCAATATTTTAGAAAAGTTCCAAGGGATGCTTAGATAATCAAGCCAGCATGTTTTTATTGCTTCAAGGTATCGGCACCCAGACCACTTCATCTCATTCAAGTGGTCTGTGTGCAGTGTCATTATTCCTCTAATCCTGCAATGTAAAAATTGCCTTTTTAGAGAATCTGCAATTTTTCACATTGCAGTGTTAAGACTGCCTCCAGTGGCAGCCACTAGACACACTTCCTAGAAACACTTCCTGCAGTTTCACAGGAAACAACTCTTGCTGTCCTCACGCTTTGCATGAGAACATCCAGCATGTTGAAAATCCCCCTTAGGAAAGCATTGGGTTGATGCTTTCTTTTTGGTAAGGCCTAATGCGCACAGTGCTCACCGCACATCGCATTAGGTTCTTCCCATCGGTTGACAGAGGAGGAGCCTGATCAGCTCAGAGGGACGTCAGCGCTAGAATAAGGTATGTGTTTAAACTGTTACTAAACCCATTAAACACTTACCATGATGGGCGGGAGGAGGACGGGAGGGCGCTGGGACAGAGGGACACTGTAGTATTAGGAATCCAGCTTTGTATTCCTTGTGCTTCTTTAATCTATAGTTTCCAAGGATACTTCATTTTCCTTCTTCTCCAAGTATATAATCGACGCTTCACATACCAGCTCATCTCCCCACAGCCATATCCCCTCCAGAACATCTCAGCTCAAGTGTATCTCCCCAAAGCCACATCCTCCCCAGTTAAAGTCACCTCAGCCACAACCCTCCCTAATACATCTTCATTAGCCATTTCCCACTCAAGTGCTTTATTATGAACATTTTTAAACTACTAAATATCAGCCATAGAGAATATTTATTGCGTCTCAGTCTTACCATCTAGCTATCATAAAAAAGTTAAAACAAAATACGCTTCTGTGGTTTTATCAACAAACTCAAATTGATTTGGCCATATATCAATATTAATAATGGTTTTATGTATTTATGATCTATAGTAGCCTCATAGATGGTGTCATATCTTATAATTTATAAGTGGCTGATAGCACAAGAACAGATATTCTGCCATCTATACTAGATATTTTTGAAATATTGCCAATAACGGTAACAAATTGTAACAATATTTCCCTTTTAGATTGTATTAAATATAAATGAGTAAAGTAACCAATAAATAATAAAAATAATACACATAATTTGTATTTCAATATAAATGCTCAGCAAGACAATATATTTTTTCTTGTTATCATTTCTCAAGCATAGTAAGAATAAGACTATAAATTGTGTTTTTTTTTTATCACTGTTAAAGTACTTTGATTAGTGGTAGCTTTCTTTTTAAATTAGCAAATAAGCTATTTTTTTATTTTAGTGTTGGTCATTTAGGGGAATTTAGGAGGGGTGAACTTTGTAGGTAAAAGTAGTTAAAGCAATTGTAGGGTCTTTGCATTTTTTTGCATACCCCCTTCCCCTCCCTATGGTAATATGTCTACATTGGAGCCATGGGAGGGGTGCAGGGTTAAATATACATACCCGCACCTTTTTATATTCAAAAGGATCTATTTTCAGTGCCTGGCAGCTTCATTTGCTAGGAGTTTTGAGTATGTGTGAGAGTACAAAACCCAGTTCTATGGGAGATCCAGTAAGACAGCGGGATCTCCCTGATGTTAAATAGTAGGATATTGTGGGGGTAGATGCTTTAAACATTTCACTTCACCACATTTTGCCAAAATCAGCAATTACATAAGACAATGCATTCTCTACTATGTCAGCTGTACATCTTCTGATTGCATTGGAATTTCATTGAATTTCCAAAGAATTCCTTATCATTTTTTTAAATGAAGATTTTATATTCATGAAAATCTCAAAGTGGCAGTGCCGCAGGTTTTATTTAGGAGAAAACAAAAAATCAAAATAGAATGGGAGTAAGTTAATTAGTAAGGTAGCAAGCAAGCAAGTTTAAATAGTTATGTTTTAGTGTCTATCATGCAGACAATATTTGCTCTGCTGAAGATGCAAATGCAGCACATCAGATGTCACTAAAACGTTTTCAGACTTTGACACAGGATAGTACAGGGTCAGTGTAGTGACACATACAATGTCACAGGGCTGCAAAATGAGAGGTGTTATTGCTACACTCAGAGAATGCAAGCTTACAAATACAATGTGTGTTTTAAAAAAATGCAGATAGAGAAATTACTGCTAACTTTGGCCAAGATTGGTGATAAAATGGCAGCACATTATTTAATTGTATTGTATTATAAGTTAATTAATTTGTGTGCTTTTTTTATTTGCTTCAAAATAGGCATATAAGTAGAGCTTTACAAACCTTGGCTAAGGTACACAAAGAGGAGGGGAATGTTGTTATGGTAGTCAGAAAGGAAGCAGAAGATATATTGGGTTTATTTTGCTGAATTTACACTAATTAGGATCTACAAAGTATGTATGAAAGAGGCAGGAAAATACCATGACAGGAATTAGTAATAAAATGGCCAAATAGAAAGATATGAAGAGACTCTAAATATCCAACAATATATGTTAGAACTAGATTAGTGGGATTTATCAGACATTTAACATGGATTTGTAAATTATAGCTCAGAATAGTTGGCTTAAAACTCTCTAACTTGGATATTTTGGTCCAAATTGTGCAATTCTGTGGTAAATTCAAAGTTTTGTGAATACCCTTAACTTATTTATATTGTAACTATTTGATGTTTTCTGTCGTGTAAAATAGTTGTTCTCTGTATTCTAGATGTTCGAAAACAATCGAGTAAAGTTCTACATGCAGACAGAAGTTTCAGAACTAAGGGAACAAGAAGGAAAGGTATTTCCTTGCTTCATATAAAGCTTATTTTCAATAAAAACAGAAACATTAATCAAGTAAATAATCTTTTTAGTTAGTAACCAACAAATATGGCTGATGAAAAATATCATTAGTAATATCTTATAATATTAACATAACACATTACCTATTAGACTGTATAGCTGTTTAGAGTGAAGGACTGGAAACAGAGTGTACTCTAGATACCTTTTTTGGTGCCAGATTAGATTATGCAACTATTCCACAAAAGATCACATACGAACTGATAACCGTAGGTTCCTTCATTACAAATATGGAAGTCCACAAACATTTTAGTTTATTACTACATAACCAAAATGCAGCCAATGAGAACATAGCACAGCTTTTGCAAAATGAAGTAGACACTGTAGATGATTGACTGCAAAAACTTTTTGTTTTGTCCACATTCGGACTAAATTTTTTTGTGTTTTTGGATGAAATTTGGCCATTATTTTTGTTTCATAATTTCATTTGGACAAGTGAAATTCCGATCTATGCAGTGGCAGCATCTGGCAGCTGTTTAGTAGATAACTCACTAAATTGGTATGCTTGTGGTATTGTCATATTTCAGGGAACGCTGTAGGGTCAGGAATACAAGCGTGTATTCCTGAACCTATGGTGTTAAAAAAAAGGCCGTAGTTAACCCCCCTTAAAAAAAATACCCTGCCTATCTCCCTCATCCTAAAAACAGTGAGGGAGGCCCAATCAACTAAACATCTGTAAAATAAAAAAATAATACTTACCATTAGATGTTGTCTTTCTTCTTCCAACTTCTTTTCTTCAGCCCCAAAAAAGGCGAAATAAAAATCCATAAAGTCACGTCGCAACTATTAAGAAAACAAAATCACGTAAAAAAACAAATCATCTTCGCCCCGCTATGGCTCTGCATGATCTGCAGGACAGGGAACCCCTTATAAAACTTTCCCACGCAGTGCAATTTGAATCAGAATGCTCTCATTGGTTGAGCCTTACCTGTCAGAGCACTCCAAACCTCCTTTATACTAATTTGGGGATTATATTGACCCCCACAGCCAAGGTTGAGGGATTGTACATGGGGATTTCAGAAGCTTCTCTCTTTAAATATTATAAGGAGGTACCTGTGAGCCGGTAGCCACTTCCTTGCAATAAATTTAAACTAAAGAACACATTTCGTGGATGAAATTTCATCTAACAAGCTATTCGTTCTTCATTTAATTTGTTGTGTTTTGTGTTCGTTCGTTTGTCTTTTGGTCAAATGGATAAATTGCTGAAAATTCAGACGAAAACGTGTTCATCAGAAAATGAATGTCTAAGTCTATTACTGATATATTGTTGAGTTACAAATTTAGTTTAAAAAAATAGAAAGAGCAATAGATTGAAATTACACTAATAATTAAGTGTTCTGCCTCTTATCATGTTTATTTTTTCTTATATATGTCAAGCTGAAAGAAGTGGTGCTGAAGAGTGGAAAGGTACTCAGGGCTGATGTATGTGTGATTGGCATAGGTAAGAGAAATGAACACCATACGATTATTGCAACTGGCTTGGGCAGGACTGGAACACGCATTCTTTAAAGTCACTTCCCAGGATTTCTAATATCATGTTAATTTTGTTCCTATATTTAACAAATATGTGTTTTAGAGGTTTCAAAAAATTCAAATTAAAAATACTTGTCAACCACTATACCAACTACATCCAAATGTACTGGTTATGGTGCCATGAGTTTCTGGCACCATCTCAAACTAAGATGTTAAACCATTTCATTACAACTTATCTGGGTCATGTCGAGCGCCCATGACTGCATCCACTGCATTCAGTTTTCTCTAGCTGGAGAATCTCCGTTGAGCTCTCTCATTGAGATACAACATAATGTGTAATGCATAAAAACAAAAAAGACTTTCATACAAATTTCACTTATATAAATATATGTATATAGACTTATCACCATATGTATAGTATAAATAGGTGATCCTATGATGGTCAGTATACAAAATGCACATAAATCAGCTGTAGCACTTTATTGGATTTTATGCATTTGTTTTTAAATTTCTATTTATTATGGTTTATGTGCATTTTTTTATCCTGACCGTCAGTATTGCTGGAGGAGCCCTTGGGATCATCTGTATACAACATACATATGGTGCCAAGGCTACATTTATTTTTGTAAGGGCAATTTGTCTGAAAGTATTCATGTTTTTATGCATTACACATTATGTTGTCTTTTATATATGTAGATTTCCGTTTGTTTTTTGAAAAGTTAAGTGGATTAGCAATACATCACTATTACATCATTACATAAAAAAGTGAGCAAAACAGTGTGAACATTTAGCAGTCTAAAATGTCTCAGAGCAGTTTGTTTAAGTTGCTGGTAAGTATGGGATCGCAAATGTCTGTTAATCTTCATACAGAAGGAAAACCAAAAATAAAGAAACATATTGATAGCACAGTCAATGTACAGTAACAGAGCTATAAAATAAAAGTATAGAAAATATAATCCAGATTTATGGATATAACTCAGGAAAATAGTTTGTTTATCAGGTGTATTTAACCCCCTCACATTGAAGCATATTAGTTTCAATTGTGCCATAACATGTAGGCATATCTGAATATTGCATAATTACACAGGGGATGTGTACATCTCATAAATTGTGACCATGAATGACTAAACTAAAAAATAGGCAAAGGTAAAATAACACAAAAATGTAACTATGTACAGGTAGAAAGCAATTTTAACTATTGGACCCATAATCCATCAAAATATATAGGGGACAGTGCAAGTCTTGCTATGGGCTTCATGGCCCAAGAGAGAGTAGTAAAAGAACCACTCGTGGGGAGGTTTGCAGTGTGAGTATAAAGTGCTTAAAGCGTAGTGGTGGAAGGCATATAAAAGGAAAATTTAATGATACCAATACTGTAAGTAACTAATACAAAGACACTACAGTAGTGACACAACTATCCCGACACTAAAAATCATACTATGTAGAAGGGTATTATCATTATAATGTAATACAAAATATCACATTGCAACACCCATCTGTACTTAATGTCCCTGGAACTCAAAACCTCTGTGGTAGGTCACAATGCCCTCCTGGCAGCCAAAGTTGTTGAGGATAGATCTTGCAATATGAGGACATTTTGCCGACTATAAGAGAGCACATCCAAGTCCCTATCACTTTGTAGAATTTCCTCCTTCAGAGGTAAATGATGAATCCTGCAGATGATGTTGCAGGTAAGATCTTTTTGCAGGCCCAGAGGGCTGGCAGCCCTATCAAACTTAATTACAGAGTCCTTAGGCTTCTCAAAGATGGTATTAAATAAATCTTGTAAGGTGCCCTGGATATCTTCCACAGTGTTGACCGGTTTAGGGATCCCCCGATACATAAGCTGTTCTGTCTCCCCCAGTTGTCAATGTCATCAATTGTCCTGTAGATCATTGTTAAAATATTGAATTACCTTGGTTTCATGGAGGGAGATAGGTAGATGAGACATCCCTGTCATCCTCAAACTCCTGGATCCTGGTGCCAAGGTGTCGGATGTCCTGGCACAGGTTATCTAGTTTAATGCTGAACCTAGCTTTCAACTTGTCCAACACGGCAGCCCTGTCAGTTTTGAATGGTAGCTGCTGTAGGAGGTATCTGAGATCTTGCTTCTCCATCAAGATTTCTGACACTGATTATTTAGGTGGTGCGATGTCCAATAACAGTGGGATCGGCATCATCTTCGATTGCATACTCGAGCCCCCGGGATCTTGGAAAAATATCCACAAGCTGTAGAGGTAGAAGGTGTCAACATAGTGCACTCTTTCTCGATGATAATTGTTTCGATATTTGTTTGGGATATTGCACAACTGCCTCACTGATGACTGAGAGACACACTCATGCGTCCATACTGCTCATTCTTTTATTTTGTTGATCAATGTAGAAGGTAGGGAAGCATCTTGAGATCTAATAGCTCTTTTCTAACTTTTTTCCACTGGTGTTCTCATATAAGGTGTTGGATGGTATATATATTGTTTTAAATGAAAATGTAATCCTTGATGTTTCATCTTTAACAAAGGTTGATATTTTATATGTGTGGAACTAATAGATTTTATTTATAAAAGCAGCACTCTATGGGTTCTCCTACTGACCCAGAAATTAAACAGTAAACAGAAAACACAAAGTGCTTTAGCAGGGTTTAGGTGAAATTACCCCTTTCTGACACAACGGTGTATAGTGCAGAGCTAAAAATTTCAGATCTTATCCATGCGGCATAGACAGGTTTTGTACATATACCGGGGGGGAAAACAGAGAAATATATAATAGTGTAATATTGTTACATTCCAGTAAATAAAGAATTAAATAAAGAATTTAAAAGGGGATGCTTAAAGAACCTTTTTGATGTTATGGCTCTGAACGTGCTGACTTTCTGTGCCTTTAAGGTAACAACAGAGACCATCTTTCTTGTGTCCCTTTACAAACTCCAGTAATATATATATATATATATATATATATATATATATATATATATATATAGCAGGAGACATAAAGTGCAAGAAAAATAGTGCAGGATGTTTGGAAATCAATAATTATAATAAAGTGTCCACAGTATACTGCTCACCTTGTTCTGGAGACCATATGCTACTGGCTCCAAGTTTTAGCACATACTTGCCAATTATGGAGTGGCAAAGACCCCCTTTGGATGTAGATGGAAAGAATGCTAATCCCAGAGGATTTAGAAGATTTTAAAATAATCTTAACTATTAAATTACAAACAAAAATAAACTCCACATGTTAGATAAAAACAAAGTAAATAAAGAATAAAATATGCTGTCCTCCAGGTCTCTGATTTTAACACCTTTAACTTAGTTTATCAAAATTAATTTTGTTTTTGCTCAAAAGGTTCACTTCATTGAAACTATGATTTCCTGCCCTAATATACAGTATTTTAATTTTATTTTACAATAAGTACACACATTTTCTGACATAATCTCTATATTAGCAACCCCTTGATTAATGATAATTAATTTTTTTAGTAGTTTACCTTTTTTTTTCAATCATTCTAACACAGTAAAACCTATTATTGTTTTAGGAGCAAGTCCTACGACAAGTTTTTTAAAACAGAGTGGCATCACCATTGACTCCAGAGGTTATATTCCAGTTAATAAGGTAACATGGTTTTTATAACACAATTTACATCTCCTTAACAGTGTGTGTAGTAGTCAGTGTGTTGACTGCCTGGAATGTTGGGTAGGTATCCAGTACCATTGATCTGAGCTCATTTGAAGAAATTGATTAATCAGTTTTCTTTTCTGCTGTTGTTACTGCATATTTCTACATAAATGGAATGCTGAAGTTCACTGGGCAGCAGTAACTCTTTTGAAAATTAAAGAGTCATTCTAAGCACTGTAAATATAGAACAATATAAAAAAATGCACAACCTAAAAATATAAAACAAAGGGAGACCGCAATAGTGTAGATAAAAAAAAATAAAAAAGGATAAATAGGCGGGGTATGCAAAATCTTTTCAAGTGCTTCTTTTCTTATCCTATTCCAGAATGGAGGCTTAGGACAAAGCACAGAAACAAAACATAGTGTATAGCTGTATGAATAAAAGTATAACTTTATTTGTTTGCACTTACAAGGTAAAAGCAGTCAAAAAGGCTCATCAAATCACTAGACGTCTTCCCAGTCAGGAAAAAGAATAACCATCAGGGTTTGGAGATGAAGTAAATAATAGCGTCCATAATAAAATAACAATCAACTGAAAAAATCCTGCCACCCTACGCATTTCTTCTTAATGACTTTGTCAGGGGCGTGTGGCAAAAATACATACACAACACACTAAACACAGTTTTTAAATACCCCGCTAAAAATCCATTACCGGCCGTGTAGCCAATCAAAATCCGATTTAAAATTAATCCACCGTGTAGAAAATCACGTCCGTTGTCTTCATTCCCCTTTCTCACTTCATTTCCTGGTGATTGCGTCCCAAGTCTCGTTTTCAAACGCAGCCGGAAGAGTATTGATGTTGGAACGCACATGCGTTCCACTGAGGCTTTACATCCGAAACCCGGAAGCAGCAACTAAATCTTTATCCAGCATTGGAACGCTGATGTGCTCCATTTGTTTAATAAAAAGTTCCATCAAAGGTAAAAGGATCGAACATAGAATAAACACATTGTATTAGATCAATCCAAAACATATCATATAATACGAAAATAATTATTATAAATAATTCATAAAAAATTATTTGGAAATGATTAAAATAGGTCTAAAACCACTTCAAAAATAGGAATAAAAATTCCAGAAAGCAAATCATATCAAAATCTACATTCATACTGTTAGGTTGCATAGTTTTCAAAGTGTAAATCCAGTAACCTTCTCTCTGTCTAAGTTTAAATACCAGGTCACCTCCTCTTTCACCCAAAGACACTTTTCTAATCCCAATATATGAGAAAGTACTGGGGTTGAAATTTTGACACCTGTTACAATGAACAGTAACTGAGTGGGTTAATAGTTTTTTCTTAATATTAGAGTGTTCTAAGAGTCTCTTCTTCAACGGTCTGATTGTCCGACCAACATATTAAGTTCCTCAACCACAAGTCAAAAGGTATACCACATGTGTAGAATTACATGTGATATGTTCCTTAATTTTAAATTTCCTTTTAGTTTTTGAACTCATAAAATGGTGAACCTTATGACTCTTAAAGGACCACTATAGTGCCAGGAAAACATACTTGTTTTCCTGGCACTATAGTGCCCTGAGGGTGCCCCCACTCTCAGGGTCCCCCTCCTGCCGGGCTCTGGGGAGAGGAAGGGGTTAAAATCTTACCTTTCTCCAGCGCCGGGCGGGGAGCTTTCCTCCTCCTCTCCTCCTTCCTAGCGACGTCATCGGCTGAATGTGCATGCGCGGCAGGAGCCGCTCGCACATTCAGCCAGTTCATAGGAAAGTATTTACAATACTTTCCTATGGACGCTGGCATCTTCTCACTGTGATTTTCACAGTGAGAAGCTTGCAAGCACCTCTAGCGGCTGTCAATGAGCAGCCACTAGAGGCTCTAGAGGCTGGATTAACCCTCAGTGTAAACATAGCAGTTTCTCTGAAACTGCTATGTTTATAAAAAAAAAAAAGGGTTAACCCTAGCTGGACCAGGCACCCAGACCACTTTATTAAGCCGAAGTGGTCTGGGTGCCGATAGTGGTCCTTTAAAGTGACAACTTTTACATGATCCACATGTATAAAAACCCTCATTCTCATGACTTTCTTGTTTTTCCCTGTTTCTAAAAGTGCTAGGTGCCAAAATATTTTTAAAACTCTTTCCTTTCTTAAAAATAATTTGTGGGACAGGAGGGATTTCTGGCTTTAAAAAATCATCCTCCAACAAAAGAGGCCAATGTTTATTTAATATTTTTCTTATTTTACTGGCATGAACATTATATTGGGTGTTAAAAGAAAAAGCAAATTTATTATTAACCGACGGAACATGTTTCTCCTTTTAAGTAATAGATCTCCTCTCTTCGTTTTATAAGAACACATAATTTCTTTATTTATAAAACTATTTGTATATCCTTTCTTTATAAACTTATTTTTTAAAATTGAGGCCTGATCTAAGAAAATATCCTCATCTGTACAATTCCTTATTCTTGAAAATTGGCTCAGCGGAACACCCCGAAGCCAATTTAGGTGATGATTACTCTCTGTATTAATATAACTGTTTGCATCAGTGGGTTTAAAAAAAGTCTTGGTCTTAATCTTAGCATCCTCAATAAAAATAGCGAGGTCTAAAAAATTGATCTCATTATGGCTAAAAACAGGAGAAAAAAATAAAAAATAATTGATTATGATTAATGTAATTAATAAAATCCAATAAAATGGCCCCTGAACCATTCCATATAAAGAGAACATCATCTATATATCTTCTCCAGAGTACCAAGTTCGCGCCAAATGGATTATTCGTCTAAATAAAATTCTTCTCTCAGTAGTCTAAAAAAATATTGGCATAACTTGGTGCGAACTTGATACCCATAGCTGTTCCCTGTAATTGTAATAGAGGTCCATGTTGAATAATTCATTGGCATGTGGGCCAAATATCTTTAAAAAAAAATTTGAATTTGTATATTTGCTAGTTCAGTAAATAACCAATGCCCAATGTTAACAGATGCCTGAAAATATATAATTATATGCTTAATTGTTCTTTTTCTGATCAGATGATGCAAACCAATATCCCTGGTGTATTTGCTGCAGGGGACGTTGTAACTTTCCCTTTGGCCTTTCGGAATAACAAAAAAGTGAATGTACCCCACTGGCAGATGGCACATGTGCAAGGTAGTGTTGTTATCTTAATCAATTAATTTGTTCAATAAATAAGTGCTATCATTGGTAAATACACTGTGTCAAACAAAAATACTTAAACTATATGTTATGCTACCAGAATTTTGAGATTACTCTAAGCAGGGCTCAAAAATTTCACGTACCCATTTGTAAGTGGAAATTCAGCCATTACAAATAAAAATCCATTCCAAGTGAGTGTTTTATGGAACCTGTAGGCTTGCAGTGGCAAGTAAATATTGGACCTGACCAGTAATATAGGACTTCAATTTATGAGCTATGACTGTAAATATATGACTACGACTACAGTGTTACTATGACTACACAAGTCTCAAAATTCTGGACTTGGAGAATAGAGAACATGGGTTTACCTCCAAAGCAGTTGTAAAGCAACATATTTTGAGTGAGGAAAAGTGGACAAACAGCCACACTTGTGCCAGGTCACATCCAAACCATCACGACTCCAATGTTAAAACAATAAACTTTATTGACTACTTCTAAAAATTACAATACAAATGTCAAAGTGTGATTGTAAAGACAGCTTGAACTAAAAACTAATCGACTCTCCTCTTTCGAAGGCCGTATTGCAGCCCTGAATATGTTAGCACAGGGTACTGAAATCAACACTGTTCCCTACCTGTGGACAGCAATGTTTGGAAAGAGCATACGATACGCAGGTAATAAAATGGTCTGAGATTTAGAAACAATAATATTTGCTAACAGGGTTATTTACTAAAGTGTGGCATGTCATGAATTCACAACGAATTAATACGCATTAAGAAGTTCAGATTTAAATATGGCTATTTTTGCCAAAAACTGTGAAATGCACTTTGAACATATGACAATTCATAGTTTGTTGAGTAATTCAGTAAAATGCAAACTGTTAGGGTTTCAAAGTGAATTTCAAATGTTATGCTGCAACAGCTGAAATGGAAACATTCTTCTCATCATCTATCATTTGCAGATCATCTCCAAGTCATTAAGAGTTCGAGGCTTGCATTTGGCAACTCGAACCTTCAGCTCCCACCACAGATTTTCTATGGGATTAAGGTCTGGTGACTGGCTAGGCCACTCCAGGATCCTAATGTGCTTCTTCTTGAGCCACTCCTTTGTTGCCCTGGCTGTGTGTTTTGGGTCATAGTCATGCTGGAATACTTATCCACGACTCATTTTAAATGCCCTGGCTGAGGGATGGAGGTTTTTACCCAAGATTTGACAGTACATGGCCCCGTCCATAGTCCCTTTGATGCGGTGCAGTTGTCCTGTCCTCTAAGCAGAAAAACACCCCACAAAGCATAATGTTTCCACCTCCATGTTTTACGGTGGGGATGGTGTTCTTCATAGGCAGCATTCCTCATCCTCCAAACACAGCGAGTTGAGTTAATGCCAAGGAGCTCGATTTTGGTCTCATCTGACCAAAACACTTTCACCCAGTTCTCCTCTCAATCATTCAGATGTTCATCGGCAAACTTCAGACAGTCCTGGAGATGTGCTTTCTTGAGCAGGGAAACCTTGCGGGCACTACAGGATTTCAGTCCTTCACGGCGTAGTGGGTTACCAATTGATTTCTTGGTGTCTATGGTCCCAGCTGCATTGAGATCATTAACAAGATCCTCCTGTGTAGTTCTGACATGATTCCTCACCGTTCTCATGATCATTGAAACTCCACGAGGTGAGATCTTGCATGGAGCACCAGACCGAGGGAGACTGACAGTTATTTTGTGTTTCTGCGAATAATTGCACCAACTGTTGTCACCTTCTCACCAAGCTGCTTGGCGATGGTCTTGTAGACCATTCCAGCCTTCTGTAGGTCTACAATCTTGTCCCTGACATCCTTGGACAGCTATTTGGTCTTAGCCATGGTGGAGAGTTTGGAAACTGATTGATTGCTTCTGTGAACAGGTGTCTTTTATACTGGTAATGAGCTGAAATTAGGAGCACTCCCTTTAAGAGCGTGCTCCTAATCTCAGCTTGTTACCTGTATAAACGACACCTGAGAGACAGAAATATTGCTGATTGATAGGGGATCATATACTTATTTCACTCATTGACATGCAAATCAATTTATAACTTTTTTGACATGCACTTTTCTGTTGTTTTTTTGTTATTCTGTCTCTCACTGTTAAAATACATCTACCATTAAAATTATAGACTGAGCATTTCTTTGTCAGTGGGCAAACGTTCAAAATCAGCAGGGGATCAAATGCTTTCCCCCCTCACTGTACATAATATAAGGCAGGTGCTTTTAATGTTGTGAATACAAAAAACAAAAATAAGTGCTCTCTATCTGGTCAATAAAAGCTGCTATTCACCAACAAGGAGTTCCCTTAGCCTTGTGAAATACAAATTGAGACGGATAAAAGGAGATAGGTGAACAGCGCTAGATATACAGGTTACATACGTCAGGAGATGGAGTATAAAAATGTATCTTTAAAAGATACATTAAAAAATGGAAAAAAACACAGTAATAGTGTAATATGAAATGGTAGTGATGTGGATATTTTTATAGTGCCAAAGGAACACTCACACTTTATAGAGCTATATAAGCTCTATTTATGTAGCCTGGACGGAATAATCCCAGTCTGTTGATTTCTTTATGGATGTCAGCGCAATATTGCTTTCAAATGGATGAAGGGCATCATATGTAAAAGAAAAGAACCATCCATAGAGCATCTATATTCTATACTATACACCTTGTTAAATTATTATCTACATATCTGCAATTACCAGAAACCGAAACAAAGTTTGAGCAGACGTTCCAGACGTTTGCCAGTGTCAAAGATGGCGGCCGCCGTGCAAAAAGTGTAATGAATGACAGCCGCCATCACTACTGATTTCACTCTATATTGCTTAAGCAAATCGTTGGTACTTTACCATTTTTACTTATAGTATGTTTTTATATATGCCTGTGTTGATTTAACTTTGCTTTCATATATATCACCCTATTGGAACGCCACCCTAATTCAAAATGGCGCTCAAGGCATTTCCGTGCACGTCAATAGCTATGTGCAGTGTACATCATTACCACAGTATCCCGGAACCGGAAATGACACCAGAAACAGGAAATGGTCGCATACTACACCGGAATCTGATTGAAACATCAAGAGACTACTTAAACTCACTTTTGAGAAAGCTTCAGTGAAACGCGCCAAGTGAGGAGTGAGGACTACAACAGAGGACTGGTTTTTATTTTGTACTTATATTTTATTCTGTATGCACAAATAAAAGTAATATTTTATCTAACTATATATATAGCCAGCCATTTTTGTACCTCACATCAAGACTAATCTGCAGCTGTTCCGGGTCCACGTGTATCCCTAGCTGGGGATTATTCCACCTAAAGCTCCATACACTAGAGCAGGACATTGCTCTAGTTGATGTAAGTAGGTTTTTTCCCTTCTTCACCTACTGTGTATTTACATACCACACCATTGGATTTATTCTTTTCTTTTACATATGATGCCCTCCATCCATTTGAAAGCAATATTGCACTGACATCCATAATGAAATCCACAGATGGGGATTATTCCATCCAGGCTACATAAATAGAACTTATATAGCTCTATAAAGTGTGAGTGTTCCTTTGGCACTATAAAAATATCCACGTCACTACCATTTTATATTGCACTATTACTGTGTTTTTTCTCTATTTTTTAAGATACACACCTTCATATTTATACTCCATTTCCTGACGTAAGTAACCTGTATATCTAGCGCGGTTCACCTATCTAATTTTATCTGCTTTTAATGTTGTGGCTGATCAAAATTCCACATCCTATATTGCTGTTTCCTGTTTCACCTATAGACGTCACTAGTGCCTTTCCTTTTAAAAGTCAGCTATTGTGTCTAAAGCTGCAGAAAAAAATAAATGGGTATAAAGTCTTCTAATATGCTTGACACCTATATTGTTGTACTCCCAAAATACCCTTTCCTTTCTATTATCTCAGGGAATGGGGAAGGCTTTGACGATGTCGTCATTCAAGGAGACATTGAAGAATTCAAATTTGTGGCTTTTTATACACGGTAAGGTACATTATGTTAATTAGTACAACTATAGATTTTTATTGTTTCGTGAGAAATGCTTCTTCATAATTCTAACATTTATGGAACATTTATAATCATTATAACTTAAAACCCTTCAAGAAAAGAGTTTCTTATCGAGACAGCCCTGAGATGTTTTTGAATTGAATTAATTACTTGTAGATAAAGTGATATAATGTGATATCATAAATGTCTGCAACATGTTTCCTGAAATTCAGTCTTAGAATATCTAATCAAATGGTTTCAGTGAAAACAGTGTTTTATGTCGTTCGAAGCAGCTTTAAAACAAGTAATTCTGTGTTAATTCTTTAAAATGCAACAGAATATATGACTCTCATGAGTCTCGTGTGGTTTATTTTTAGCAGTTTGTTTGAAACTGATGTTAAAAGTGCTCTGCGTTATTTTACTGTTTAGGAAACAGAAAGGGAGATACAATTCCAATAGTAAGATGACTTCTTGCGTAGATGCGTTCAGGTAATGTTGGTGAGCATTCGGATGCTCCAGGTTCAAGGTTATATCTTCCGGATCTCTTTGGACTGAACTCTAGAGTTACTGACCTAAGACAATACTTGTACATTTCCAGTGAGCCCTGTATGATTTGCATTTCATGAAACTATTTTTAAAGTTTACGATCTTGTTTTTTTTTTTTTTTTATAATGGGTTGCTATGGAGAGTATATTTTGGCTGAAATGCCTTCTGTACAAGATATCCCAGGTTGTAATCGTAACAAGAAACGTGATACATTTTGACTGCTTGAAGCAGACATTGTGAGAACCTATACAAACATCCGTATCACTGATTGCCAAGTGCAACACTAGGGGGTTTAAGCACTAAATACCTAATTGTAGTAAAATGAAAATTGAATGGCAAAATGTTCTTGAAAAATTCTTTCACTCAGTTGTTGTCTTGGTTAGGCTATTTTAGACAAACTTTTGTTATTCAGATTTTTTTAATTTATATGCTATGGTGTAGCAACATAAATGGAACACGTAACAGTACAATTCTATTTATAAATTTGCTAGAAATCAGGCTTCTACATGTGGAGCCATATAATTTCTGCATGGCATGTACACCTTCATTTTTTGGTTATTTTGCTTTTAAAGCCTGTCAATAAAATTTAATTGCTTTTCAGAATTTTAAAGGTGCCCAGAACATGGGCCAGAAACATGTTGTTCAAACACAAGCTATGAAATATAGAAACACACTTTTTCTGTAATAAGTAGGTCATAAAGAAGAATCCTGGCACTTTGTATGTCGATGGAAGCATTTTCATCAGATATTTCCTCCAAGCAGCCACTGTGGTCCCTTGGGCATACTATCATACCGACTGTGTTCTCACATTAAACAAGGCGGTAACTCTACTGATCACTCCTCCTGTTACAACTTCTGGCATGGGATTATAACTTAATCTGTCATCTCTTATGCATTCCTCTGTTCTGTCCCGGTGACAATTGTGTGCCAACAATAAGAAACAAAATTGTTGGTTGACACAATTTTATTTGTATGAAATTCATTGTGACTGTTAATATAAATTAATAATGTTTTATTATCCTAATTTGTAATTAATTACAAACAGATCGGTTTTTGTGAAATTTAACAATTTGTTCTAAAATGAAATCTACACCTAGAACTATATAATGTTAATAATGTCAATGTTATTACCATTCTATTGTTTTTATAGGTGCAGGTAAGTAATAAAATTGTTTCTCTGTGGACATGGACAAAATAAATCTCTGCCAGTCATTAAGTGCCCCCTGCCTTTGATTAGTAGGAGGGTCTTCTAATGATATGCTCATATTTTTTTTCTGTTGGTGACCCATATCACATTGTGAATTCCTGACTTGTCGATCACTTTCGTGTAAATGGATTGCATAGCACTTAACAGTGGATTTGATTGATGATGTGCATTTTAAACTTTATTACAACTTGCGTGGACTGTGTTTTTGCGAAGTGCCAAAGAAGTAAAGGAAGTGAATGGAAATGGAAAATAGCCTCTGGGAGCATTTAGGATCTAAAATCCAATTCCTTCAGTTGTAAACAGTTGATAGAAATAAAATATATGAATTTATTAATACTTAATGTGGCTTTGTCACCTATTTTTTTTTTATAAATTAGTTTAAAGAGGCTCTGTCATGTTTTTTTTTTCTTTCCTTATGTCACATGTACCTTAATGATTGTATTCCCATCTTTGTCACTTGACTTCATTTATATTTATTATCTTTTCTTTCTTGCACTGGGTGCCTCCATTTTGTTCTCATTTGTTCATGAAGTCTACAGCTTTCTTTCTGTGGAATTCTTTTGACTGATGGATTATGGGTAGTTAGCTTAGCATGTGAAATGGAACTTTGCTAACACCCCACCCATTGTCTAAAATTAGCCAGAGATTACTCTCTCCACGAAAAAGTGTACTTCCTTCTTTTTCTTATGTATAACTTAAAAACTATGGTGAATTGCAAAAATGAAAACAAGAAGAATTAGAGGGACAAAAAAGGATTAATGTAAAAGCCAGATATGCAAAATGACAGATCTACTTTGAAACATTAATGCCAACAGATTAAGGAATTTGCAACTAAGCAAGCTGTATTAAATTTAGCTGTTATTGCAATTTGATGTTCTGCCAGTTTTCCAATGTGGAGGTGGCCATCTTTCATACCCCTAAACACTGTAATTTATGAATGTGGAACTGGACAGGGCAGGATTTAAGGAGACTTGTCAGTCAGGCGTGCATGCATATTAGTTTGACTGGCAGTCACCATGCATAGAGGGCTGTTTAATGCTCTTGTACTAGCTCAGTGCCCTGAATTTAATTTGGAAACATTTTTATGGTGTCCCCTGGGTTAGGGCGGCCAACCCAAAACAAAAAGCCCCAAATCACATGCTTCTTTACCATCTCCATTCTTGCAGGATAGTCATGATTTTCAAGTCCTGTCTTGACTTGATTCCCTGCTGTCTTGCTTTTGAGGACACAAAAGTACTGTCCCCAACAAGCATAGATTGACCACTATGTTCAGGGCACCAGTTTCAGTGCAGGGAGCACTGAAACAGTTCTACCAGCAGGGTCTGCCCTCACTGGGCTAGCCATAAAAGATGGACAGGCAGCCTGGAAGATTTTTTTTTTATATGTGTCGAGTCACTGGCCTACACCATCTTCCCCCTTCCACCAGCATCCTTATTTGATGGATGCCAAATCAGGAGTGTCCAGCCAAATCAGTACTGTTGTATTACAATGTTTAGACCCTCAGTGACAGTTAGAAGATTGCCAAGAGCCTGTGACGGCTTCAGCCAATCCAAGTCCCAGGGGACACCATGGGTTTACTTCAGGGAGATCATGCCAAACTAATCTTATTGATTTTTTTGATTGGGTAACTAAAACTATAGATCAGGGTGGTGCAGTAGACATTGCTTACCTAGATTTCAGTAAGGCTTTTCACACTGTTGCACATAGAAGGCTTATCAATAAACTGCAATCTTTAAGTTTGGATTCAAATATTGTTGAATGGGTAAGGCAGTGGCTGAGTGACAGGCAACAGAGGGTTGTAGTTAATGGAATATATTCGAAGCTTGGACTTGTCACCAGTGGGGTACCTCAGGGATCTGTACTTGGACCCATTCTCTTTAATATTTTTATTAGTGATATTGCAGAAGGTCTTGATGGTAAGGTATGTCTTTTTGCTGATGATACTAAGATATGTAACAGGGTTGATGTTCCAGGAGGGATAAGCCAAATGACAAATGATTTAGGTAAACTAGAAAAATGGTCAGAATTGTGGCAACTGACATTTAATGTGGATAAGTGCAAGATAATGCATCTTGGACGTAAAAACCCAAGGGCAGAGTACAGAATATTTGATAGAGTCCTAACCTCAACATATGAGGAAAGGGATTTAGGGGTGATTATTTCTGATGACTTAAAGGTAGGCAGACAATGTAATAGAGCAGCAGGAAATGCTAGCAGAATGCTTGGTTGTATAGGGAGAGGTATTAGCAGTAGAAAGAGGGAAGTGCTCATGCCATTGTACAGAACACTGGTGAGACCTCACTTGGAGTATTGTACACAGTACTGGAGACCGTATCTTCAGAAGGATATTGATACCTTAGAGAGGGTTCAGAGAAGGGCTACTAAACTGGTTCATGGATTGCGGGATAAAACTTACCAGGAAAGGTTAAAGGATCTTAACATGTATAGCTTGGAGGAAAGACGAGACAGGGGGGATATGATAGAAACATTTAAATATATAAAGGGAATCAACACAGTAAAGGAGGAGACTATATTTAAAAGAAGAAAAACTACCACAACAAGAGGACATAGTCTTAAATTAGAGGGACAAAGGTTTAAAAATAATATCAGGAAGTATTACTTTACTGAGAGGGTAGTGGATGCATGGAATAGCCTTCCAGCTGAAGTGGTAGAGGTTAACACAGTAAAGGAGTTTAAGCATGCATGGGATAGGCATAAGGCTATCCTAACTATAAGATAAGGCTAGGGACTAATGAAAGTTTTTAGAAAATTGGGCAGACTAGATGGGCCGAATGGTTCTTATCTGCCGTCACATTCTATGTTTCTATGTTTCTATGTAAGTCTTTCTTATGCATAGCAGCTCCCAACTTTCAACTGTGCATGAAACAGACTATGCTTCTTTAAACTCTCTAGTAATGCTTTGGGCCCAAAATGTCCAAGGGTAGCTAGAAATCTTTTATTGGTTTGTTTGTCTTTTTTTTTAAAACTGCTTAACAGAAATAAATGTGTATATATTATATAATCATCATGAATTATAGACAGTTGTTTTTTCATAATGTTATAGGGTAATGTACTTCTGATGACAAAGCCACTTTAAATATGTTTTTGTAGTTATATATTCTATACTATATAGTATAGATTCTTCTTTGACATATTTTCTGGATTATCCTTCTTTAAGGAAAAAAAAATGGCAAACCTCCCAGACTTCATTTTTTATTTTATGCAAATTATATGTTGACTTTATGTTAAAATGCACACTTTCATATAGCTGTTGAATTACTCACACTAAAGAACATGGATTGTTTCTCTGTATGATAGGAACGATGAGGTCATTGCAGTTGCCAGTATAAACTATGATCCTATAGTGTCAAAAGTGGCTGAAGTAATGGCATCAGGAAAAACCATACGGAAGCGAGATGTAGAGTAAGTAATGTAAAGCAAAAATAACAAAATATCACAATGTGTTAAAAAAAACCAGAAGCATTAATTGGGATAGTGCACAGTTGCTTCACTCTGATTTTCTTTTCACATTTACAATTTTTTTCTTTCTTATGTTTTTTACACCAATTTCAGGGAGGACAGTGAGCTAACCAATCAGTGTCCTATCCTTAGGAATGCTGGAAATGTGCATTAGGCAAGCTTGACAGATTTACATGTGTACAGTTGGACCTCTGGACCTCACAGGGAGAGAAGACAGGGAGTCTGATCATGTAGAGCAGGCTCTGACGTCAGGTTTCTCTCTCCTGATACCATGTTTTGTCACTAGTGGGCTAGTCTGCAACTTATATGGGTGGGTAAGGAGCTGGGGTGAGGCTGAAGAAACGTAACTGTGAGGAGTGTCAAAAAAGCCAAAAGTTTATAGTAAGTTTGCAAATGTTTACTACATGCTTTTCCATGTTTTTCTTGCTTAGGTTGTATATTTGTCTACAAGAGTTTACTTTTGGTTTAAAAAAAATATTGTCAAGTGATGCAAGTCCCTTTAAAAAATGCATATGTGCTTTAAAATATTGACTGCTGGGTGATATCTTAATTAAATTTTGAGGTGCATTTCTGAAAAGTGGTACAAAGATGTAAAGTGGAAGGAGCAATGAAATGTGCTTGTTGGTTCCACTGGTTTCCGCAGAGACAGTCTCATTTTTTTTAGCACTTTGCTGCATATTTCAGAACATGGCAAAAATTAAGTATCTCCTGTTACCCAAAGCCCTGCCTTCTCTTGCTGCTGAGATTATGAGAAATGTCAATTGTATCTTATCCATAGCGATATGTCTGAAAGTGGATGGCAATGATGATCTTTGATTGCGCGGTTAAGCTGCCCCAATGCCCCAATGCCCCAAGAGATTGTAAGGGTTATAGTACTTATAATCCCCCATTAAAAATGTGAAGGACACTGCAGAAATTTTACATTTGTTGAAAAGGCTTCCTAAATAAAGGCTAACCAAGAAGTGAGTGTGACATTAGTTTAGCCAGAACGACAGTGAAGTATATTATTTTATATACTCAAGAAAATATCATCAGTAACAAGCCAGGTAACAATAAGCGGTTAAAACGGACTTGCCACAAAAGGATTATAGTTTTAATGTTTTGAAATGAAAATAGTGGGAAGCACATGTAGGCTGGAAATAGGGGGAAAGGGGCAATTGTCTCCCTGGCCACTAACATGTGAGGGCTGGCAAGAGGGATGTGGAATGCAGCTTCAAACCTTTTCGATGAAAGTTAAAATAGTGAAGGTGCATTGGAATGTCTGTTGCCACAATACTGTATGAAATGAGCAGGACCTTTGCTGACTTGGCAGTGTGTGAGTTTTCATGGGCTGGTGGTCTGGGCTCCTAGGGCTCTACAGACCTGGACAAGTGCCACATGAATATCTCCATATGGACTGCAGTATCTAGGTTGATAAAGCTTTCACACTAGGATGAGTATGTATGTGTAATACCCCTGGAGGTGTTTGCAAGTGACCGTGTGTGTGAGATTAGACAGTGCTCTTGACATTCATATAGACGTATATATCTCAATAGAGTCTCATGGGCATCCACAGACCTACGAATGCTAGACTATGCTATACAGGTCTTATTAATGGAGGTTGCAGGAATATACGTTGTCAAAACTAAATTAATCCATATTTTCCCTTTAAGGTTTTGATTTAATATTGTTGAATAAGCTTTTCAAATTATTTAATATTATTGGTTAAACTTTTAAAATGGCTTAATACAATGACAAAAAGACCCACAAACCACTTTGCTGAAATGTGTGCAGTGTGTCCTATTTTTTCATTTTGCAAAAAGTGCGGATTTAAACAGAAATAGACACTTTTATTAATGAACCTGGTTACACTCCCTCTCCCCAACTTTCAAGCAGGCAACCGGTTCTCTTACTTCCTGGTTTGCGTAGCTCAGTGCAGCTAAACTCAAGAGGTAACAATTGCCCAGAGCACCTGTGTTGCAAAGACTTCTCATTGAGCTGCATTGGGAAGTCTGTGATTGGACAGCAACAGAAAGACTGGGCGGGGTTAGAAGGGGAGGGTTTGCAAATTCTGCAGACAAGAGAACTGCAGGTTTTGCAACCTATAAATATACTCACAATTAAAAAATGCATAATTAAAGGCATGCAAGTGTTAATTTGGGCATATCTACTAAACATTGATTTTTATATATTTTGTATTTAATTCCTGGGTTTACAAATAACCTGCAATTTTGTCTTTGGCCTTTTGTTTACTTATACGTTTTATTAAAGTGTTCTAATTTCTCTGAATGCTAAATATCTAAAGAAACATAGAACATGCATTTTGAAGCTAATAGAGGATGGACATGACAAACAAACGATAAATTTGATAATTAATTTTGCAAACAAAATTCAATATCTACTGATATAAGTGCTTAATTATAAGTGTTGCCTATTGAACTGGATTGCCTTTCATAAACTCCAAAAAGTACAATAATACAAAAGAAGTGCGTGCATACAACATGATTAAAACCCACAATGTTTTCCGTAAAAATATTAAGATCAACGCCAGGATCTCATATAGACATAGGAAAAAACAAGATAAATTGATAACATGTAGTATAGTATATTTAAAATGTTTACTTCAACCACCAAGACCACTTCTGCTTTTAGATCAAAATAAATTCACCTAATCAATACCAAATAGCATTACTTATTTATCGCAAATGAGAAGTGACATATTCCAGTGTGATGGCATTATGGACTGTCTCGGTATGCTGATTACATTTAGAACAGTGTGTCTGTGAAAATAAAGTTTTTTGAGATATAATAAACAATGAAAACTCTTTTTTTTAATGCTTCCATCCAATAAAGGATATTTATTCATCATGGCAAGTATGTCAGTAATATGTAAATATTATGTGTTTTGTGTTGTGACAGACCATTACTTGATTATGTCATCCTTCTACAACGCTGTTAAAAGCCAATGAATGCATGTCCTTCCATAGAGATATGGTTTGGTAGAATATGTGATGTTTATTTTATAGCTTTACCACAGTAGGCAGATTGTCAATAATAGCAAGTTACATTTTGTAAGGCTGGTAAATCACAACATGGGGTGATGCATACAGCAGATATATCAACTTTTATAAAAAGCTAATTAAATAAAAAACAGTATGAATGAAAATAACAATCAAGCGTGCAATTTGTTTTCTTAAAATAAACACTTTATTTTAAGGCTAGTGCAAATACCTTGGCAGTGTAGTCTTGGAGAAACACTTAAGGCAGATCCATACATTTTAACATCCTAGTTGCTGTTGTCCGGTCCTAACTTTTAATCATTGTCCCACCATCTTGTATTTTATCCTATGGTGCCCCGCTTCACCAAAGGCACAACAAAATTATGTGCAAGTACATTAAAGGACCACTATAGTGCCAGGAAAACATACTCGTTTTCCTGGCACTATAATGCCCTGAGGGTGCCCCCACCCTCAGGGTCCCCCTCCCGCCGGGCTCTGGAGAGAGGAAGGGGTTAAAATCTTACCTTTCTCCAGCGCCTGGCGTGGAGCTTTCCTCCTCCTCTCCTCCTTCCTAGTGACGTCATCGGCTGAATGCGCAGCCAGTTTACAATGCTTTCCTATGAACGCTGGCGTCTTCTCACTGTGATTTTCACAGTGAGAAGCACGCAAGCGACTCTAGCGGCTCTCAATGAGACAGCCACTAGAGGCTGGATTAACCCTCAGTGTAAACATAGCAGTTCCTCTGAAACTGCTATGTTTATAAAAAAAAAAGGGTTAACCCTAGCTGGACCAGGCACCCAGACCACTTCATTAAGCTGAAGTGGTCTGGGTGCCTATAGTGGTCCTTTAAGGTAATTCTGCCAGAGTACTTAAGAGACAATCTTGTCCTGTATTTTTTTTGTTATAACACGTGTCTGTTTATACATGTTGGTTTCCTTGTAGCAATTTTCATAGTTCCATGCCTTGTAAGTAAATGTGTTTTGATATACAAAATAAATATATATAGTGAGATTTGATTCTTTAACAAATATACCCTACAGCTGGGTCAGAATAAATGTATTTTAATGGAAACTGCAAATTGTTTTTTTTTGTTTTTTTAAAATTTATGTTTTATTGAACATTTTGCATAAACAGGGATACAGAAAGAAAGACAAGGTGGAGGGGGGGGAGGGGGTAATGTTTTTAGTTTCGTAAAAAAAACCTTGTGCGATTAGATATTACATAACAGGTTATCAAAAAAAAGAAACAGAAAACAGAAACAAAGACTTACATTGAGTTAAATTACTGGTGTTCCAAAATATGGTGGTTTTATCAACATACTGCACGCAAGCAGAACATCATCATTATTGGCAACGCAGTGCCTTCATAGTGTTTAGTGGACACATGTCCTAGATCTGTACTTTGGTCACGTTTTCCCTTTGGTTGTCTTTTCTCTTGTACTGTTTTCCCTTTATCCATGAGATAGCTATTCCCTCCCTCTCGTGTCTGTTCGTACTTCCTGTGTCGGTCTTTGTTTACTTAAGACACTTTTTACAGTGTAGCAGAGTTTTATTTTCTGTTTAGGGTAATGCCGCTAGGTGTGTTATGGTAAATTGTGTTGTTTTTAAGAAAAATTGCTTTCTAACCTGTCTAGTGCTAGATCAGACAAGTGCTCATGACGCATATAACGTAAATTTGAATGCAATGTCTGTTTGCATGAGTGAATGATATAGCTCATAATCATACCTATTTTCTTTATATTTCTATTTTAGAACTGGGGACATATCATGGTTAACAGGAAAGGGATCATAGCATCTCAAACTGTCCAAAATGGAACTGAATCAAATGAAGAACATGCATGCGGTATTTGTGCAACTGTCCTGCAGAGAACATTGTACCTGCCTGGCTTTCACGCAAAACCACACACTTTCTTTATAAATCCTTACCTTCTGCAAAGATTGTGAAATGCTGACACCGGAAGAACCGAACTAAAACACTACCTTAAAAACAATGTTAATGCTGCAGCATTAGGTTGTCATGTGTCCAATATCCAATAATGTGACAGCTGGATGACCTTGAAATACTTCAATTCTCAGTACTTGGGTTTGTAAATACATTTTGCTAGTAATTGGAAAAACCCACGTATTCTAGAGCTGTGGCCAGACTCTGTATAAGTCCTCTTTAAGAATGCAAGGGTAATGAAAGCATTTTTGTTCACTTTCAGAATAAAAGATAGTAGAAGATAGGCACCCATCATGCAGGTGTTGAAGACAAATTAAAAATATTTGCTTTTTTTTGTTATATAAATAGTTTATCAAACCATGATTTGGGTTGAAGGGCAATGTACAGACATTAACAACAGCTGAACAGCTCATATAACATGCTTTATATCATTGTATTTTTTTTTTCTGTTTTAGTACCTCTTTTCAGTCAACCACATGTATAAAAACAGGTACATTTGAAAAAGTACTGGATTATTTATACTAACCTTCGATCCTTGTAGCTGATTTTATACAGAAAGTTGCTGCTGCTCTGTAACATGTGAATTTTTCCATCCACTATTACAATTAGTATTTTTTTTAATAACTCCAACACTTTCATAGTATTATTCACTAAAGTGAGAATTTGAAGCAAATGTCAAATGTAGTGCCAAAGTAGCCAAACTGGAAGTATAACTGACTTAGACAATGCTTCCAGTGGTTATGATGTTAGGCATACCCTTGCCATGTTTCCTGGTAATGGGGAAACCATTTTTCAATGCTTTACCTGCTTATCTGGACCTGTGCTGGGTCCTTAGGGTCCTCCAGTGGCCACTGATGATATCCAGCTTCTGCAGAGCCCTCTGGCCATCGATTGACTGAGAGCATAAGCTGACTTCACCCAATGAATGCAATGCAAGGATTGCAAACTTGCTAATGATGCCCCAATGATGCTGCTGGAGTTGGACCTACACATACGGCGGCAGAGACGTTAAACTTTGTATGTGCAGTGTTCCAATGCAAAACACTGAAATTACAGACTCCAAACACTATAATAACTTCAAATCACTTAAGAGGTCACGATGCTTGGAATAACTTTTTAAATTTCAAATTCATTTGAATTGACTTTGAATTCTCGTTTTAGTGAATAACCATGTAGATGTTTTTGTTTTTTTCTTACAGCATGTCACTGATTTAAAGTAAAAAAAGTGTATTCACAAGTGTTTATTCATTAAACAGTGAATTGTGCAGATTTAACAATTGAACAAAAAATTTTAGGCTCTAATAGCGCAACCGAAAAATCTCTCCACCAATGCTATGATACAACTCTGCTATTTAGCCTAAACTTTGCAATAGATAATACCTCTGTCAGTTCTCCAAAATTCTTAGTTTAGTTATCCCGACACTTTTCTTTTACTGTGCTCATTTTAGATTTCTTTATTTTGTACTGTTACTATGTTTACACGGGATGCAGCTACATTATACTCTTATCCCATTTTCATGTACTTTATAGATTTTAACTACGTATAGCAACTTTTGGATCTACATTGGGAGGATTCTATTATTCTCTAAACAAAAATCATTGTAATTTTTAAATCTGTTTAACCTCAATTTGATCGCTTTAACATAATGAATGCAGCAACAAATCCAAATATGTTATTTCTGCAAGTCAATGCCTTTTTTATGTATATAGAAAAAAAGTATTTTATATTCATTTATAATTCTCGTTAAATGCATGTTTCACACATGTTTCAACTAGTTTGTTTCAAGAACTAGCATGTTAAGAAGTGTAAAAATGATAAAAACAGAAATATTATACATTTGATTTTTCCATCTCAAAGATCTTTGGATGTAGCATTTTCTACTGATTATGGCATTTCCTGCAATTGAAATTTGGATTTAGAAATGCGTTATACGGCAGCAACTGCAGGAATAATCAAACTCTGGCCCTGTTGAGGGTGTATATTATGGGTATTATATTGAAAGAGCTAGATGCACAATGGAACAGCCAGAAGAAGGAATATTTTGTTTTGTTTCCATGGTGAATGCTCTACTTTTTGAATATTGCCACTTAAAAAAAGACAAGTAGTGACAAAAAGTGCAAAAAAAGCTTACACGCAAGTAATACTTAGTTGTAGTTTGTTTTGTGTTTGTTTTTGCTTTTACCACTTGTAATTCATTAATCAAAAAGGGAGTTGTTAGTAAATTACATTATTGTGCTAAAATATTCACAAATTAGAATCATTTAAACATTGTGGGAGCCATTGCCTTTTATACTTGGAGTGTCATAGATTGCACATTTCTGGCGTTGGATGCTCTGTACGTAGAGAGAGTATCGAGTCACCATCCCAAAATTTAGAATATTATTCTGCCAATTTAGAAATTAAGATATTTTTAAGGAAATCATAATTTTACATGCAAAAAAGACTGTGGCTTTTCTCATCCAAATACTTAAAAGGCAAAGGGCTGTTCGAAACCAAGGAGTAAGAAAATGTGTTTTAAATAACCTTTGGGTGGTGGAAGCTGATTAACCTTTTTTTGTGTGCTTTACACTATTGTATAGCATATGGATTTAATGTTACTTTACAGTGCATACAATCAATTTATTATTTTACAGTAAAATATACCAATGAATTATATAATGAACAGCAAATGAAATTATATTATGAATTATTTTAGCACATAGTAAAAAACATATTTTTAAAAATGATTTTTTGTACAAAATGTATATAGTGGAATATATATTATGCCAAATCTATAATAATATATATATGATATTATGTAACAGAGTGTATTTTATGAGAGAGCGAATTTTAAAGAAAAATATATCTACTTGGAAAATGAGAACAATTTCATATCTGCATATGTACAACAATGCGTATATTTTTTTGTGATGGCTATAACCAGTTCAAGACTAGGGTTAGGCAAACTCGTTCTTATTATTGAAATGCCATTTGTCAGGGACTCAAGAGCAAATTATCCTCTGTATTTCTATATTGTGACCTTAAATGTTAAAGGGTAACTGAAAGCACCATGTCCACTTCATTGATTTGATGGTGCTCCAAGTCTGTTTGTGCAACGTTCCAGTTTGAAATGCTGTGCATACAGAAATAGAACCTGGTGCTGCTGGCAGCGACATTAATGTTTAATGTCCGGAATGTTTAATGTTAAACTGATGTTAAATCTGTGTTTACTTATCTGTTGTCCGCACGCATAGCATGCACGCAACAGACAACCAATGGTGGCACAGCTCCTCCCTCTGTGTGACCCAAGTCCTCTCTTCAGCCCATCATCTGAGATGAGGTAGTGACATCACCAGAGGAAGGTCAAACTGCAGGAAAAACCTGCCTGGTATCGCAGGTAAATATTTTTTATCTTTTAGTGTGAGAAGAGGACCATGCCAGTAAGGTTACTCAAACAACAAACAAGTGTTTTATTAAAACACTGTTTTTTGGTTGGACCCTTTAACCAAATAAGGGCAACAACAATTGACATGCTCTGGGTTAGGTAGATTCGCAGATGCTATAGAACTACAAATTTAATGATGCTTTGCATGCTTTTAGAATGCCCTTGGAATGACAAAGCATCATGGAAGCTGTAGTTGAAAACATTTGGGATCTACTTTTTGTGCACCCCTGCTCTAGTCTATGTGTGTGATTTATTTCTGGATGTGCAAGCAATAATGAGTGTTTTATGTGTTTTATCAAGTTACTGTTGATATGCCACATGCACATCCTCCGTGATAGACTCCAAGCACCATAACAAGCCAAGTTATTGCAGTGCTTATGGTATTTTTAATCAATTTGAGAAAACAATATTATTTTCCTGCACTCACTGCCCACCCTCTCCAGTTGCAATTTTATAATGAGAAAATAATTCTTCCTTACTATTAATCCATATTCTTATATTTGTTTGTTGGGCAAATATAAAAAAAAGTTCACTTACTAATCCATTACTAAAAGTTTATTTACCCCTAAAGGTGACCTCACAATATATGGCAAAATGTTTTATTTGATGGCACTAAAATGCCCAGCAGTAATCTGGCTGTACTGAAAGGATTGCTCTATTATGATCTGTCCAAATCATTCAGTACCTCAGTACAGCCTCTGCATGATGTGGTCATAGAGCTCCTGCTTGCCCGATTTAGGAAGAAACACAGTAAAATGAGAATTTGCATTTTTCCAGGACACACTTTTACTTCAGGAAATCCATGCAGTTTTTGTCAAACTGATTGATGTTAGTTCTAAAAAAACAAAAACAGAAAACTGTAGTGGTTATGGTGCTTGGTGTGTCTCTTTAAGAAATACACCTGGAAATTTTATTCAAGATGAGCGTCTGAAAAATTATATCACTTTCAAGTATTATGAGGCATGCCAGATTAGAAAAAACTTTTATGAGTCACTTTTATGTGCATCCATTTGGGCCACTTTAAGAGTTTTAATCCTCAACAGGATGAAACCATACTCTACAGCAGGGGTGTCCAAAAGGTAGATCCACAGATGTTGTAGAACTGCAGCTCCCATGATGCTTTGCATGCCTTAAGAATTTCTCAACTCATCATGGAAGCTGTAGTTTTAAAACATCAGGGGATCTACCTTATGGGCAGCCCTGCTCTAAAATTAATCTTCCAGATCAAACGCGTGTAGATTTATGCCACTAAGGGGACATCCAGGATGGATTTACCTCCGAATCTTCCCCTTTTAAATCTCTATTTTTTTTTTATTCTTTAATTAAGAGTAGACAGCAAGAGATACAACAGACAATATACATAAACATGGTACAACGTCACATCTGATCTGTCACTTCTTTTTCTCTGTAATCGGGAACTGGCTTAGACCATTTCTCTAGCAGAATGAATAATCATGCATATGTATGACAAAATACGCCAATGGTGTACTAATGCAGGGTTATTCACTAAACTCAATTTTTTTTTAATTCAAAATCGAGGCTAAAATTGGCAAGCTGTTTCCAGAGCTGTAACTAGAACTTTATCCAGAGCAGCTATTTTTGCCTCAGTTTTGCAATTCTTATATTTCACTGCAAATCAAAGTTTAGTGAATATTCTCTTGTATAGTAAAGTGATCTTTGTAAGTAAGAAACCATCGCTGGAGCTAAACTATGTTTTTTTTTCCTGTAAACTGTGCAGCTTTGAGTATGTATAATGAACCAGGATATGTTTTTTTTTTTTTTTTACCAAGCATTTTCATTCTAGATGTTGATATGCACCAATGCAGTTGATGCTCTCACACTCCTCCACTGGCTTATTCCTGGCACAACTTGCACATGTTTCACTTTAATTTGTAATAAAATCATTTTACTAAACTATTATTAGACACTAGATCAGACATGTCCAATCCTGACCATCAATCTGTCTTTCCACTACAATTCTCATAATCCTCTACCAGCCATTGGTGCAACAAGTGTTCATTAGTGTAACTGTTGGGATTATTATGAAGTCAAACTAGAGTTAGAAAGGCAACGTTTAGCATACATCAGCTGCACTCATCTGTAAAAGAGGGAAGATAGAAAAAAATAGAGGGTCCCAGCTTTATTTGTGGAAATACCTGTAATTCCATGTGATCACACCAGACACTGCACCAAGAGCATATTGTATCTTGTTAGTGAACCTGCTATTAGAGATGTGTAACTGTGACCTGGTAGATTCTTACACAATCCAGAAGCCTTATTTGTAAACTACATATAGTGAACAGCTATGAGTAACAATCAGTGATAATACTTTGCAAAAATAATGTATGGAATAAAAGATTTCTAGTTATTTAATTGGATTTAGTTGTCATTAGTGTATTTTGATTTCTCTGTAACAAAACGCCTTTATTCTTCATGTTTTATTTCGTCAGATCTTGAATGTAAGAAATATGATGGAATGATAAAGTGCATGGTTTTATTTTAAACACTGTAATAAAATACTAACCTTGCATTAAAAATGTATGTGTGGTGGTGTTTTTTTTAAATCATATTTTTTTTTAACACCTGTATATTTTATTAAGTGATAATATAATTAGAAAATGCATAGATTTAGCTTATGTGAATTATTAGTATGTCATTGTGCATGTCTGTACTGATGTAATAACACACAGAGTATAAGGAGGTTTTAAGATATAGACAGGAAACATATGAAGTTGTTTTCACATCCATCCACTATCTTAATTAGTTAAAGTGTATTTGACTGGTTTTGTATAACAGGTTAAATTTTTACATTTGTATGATAAAAATGACGCAATGTAGTGCAACGTTTCTGTACATTCATGTTACTGCCTTTTGCTAAGCTAGCAATGTTTAACAGATGATAGATATTTTAAACCATGTCTCGGAACACCTTGCAGTAAAGACTAAATTCATATGAGAAAATTAGATAAGAGAACATCAGTTTCCCTTACAGGTGATTCTAGAACCATCTTTTGCCAGTTTTAGGAGATTGCGTCATTAATCTCGCTAGTTAAAAAACCACACACTCTGCTTAAAACCTGGTTTGATCCCATAACACACAAAGGGACTGAAGGTGTTGTTCGTATTGTCTGTACTTGGCATTGGTAAGGATGACACAGGCCCTTGTATTTTGCCTCTTGGCTTTATGTCTTGGCATCAGCGCAGAGAAAGATACAATAGAAACAGAATTAATCGAAGACACTGAAATTGCAAAAGGAACAGTCATAGTAAGTAAAGTACATTTATTTGTCTTAATGCATTGTCATTAACAAATTGTTCTGTGTAATGGGACACACACTTGATTAAAGTCCTATTTAAGTGCTGCATTAAATAAATGATATAAAATGAGCTTTTAGATCATTGTAGATATCAGATTTCATACAATAGTAATTTAAACTTTGAAAAAAAAAAAAACCCTATATCAGCGCTTAGTAGAAATTCTCTTATCACCTGAAAAAAAGGGGAAAAAAAACAAACATTATTTGGGTTAAGTCCACAAAGTTAAAGTTCAAATGTTTGTATATTGAAGGATATACCCAGGTGGTTAGGGAATAACTGTGATAACACAATAGTCTGTCTGTTCTGAGGCTGAAATAAATCCCGTCCAATGCCACTTTGTATCCAACCTTAAATTAAGAGAGGTACTGACATAGTGTAATAAAGTAACAATAATTTATTCCCTTACAAAAAAAACTAAATAAAATTCTTACAAGATAAAGTGGTGGAACTTATCTCTAAGTGCCACTATAATTAGTGCACCATGTTATGTTAAAATGGTTTCATGCAACATCTGTGCAATTTCATTCTTTTCTCTTTTGTACATGATTGGAAAAGCTCACTAAAAATGATGCATGTAAAAAAAAAAATGGTTGTGGAGTTATTAAGTAAAGCTGCGGGCAAGCTTCTACCTCACTCATTTCTTGTCTGGAGTTATCTTATTTGACTTTGGGAGTTGGTGCCACAAAGGAAACCTGTGCATTTGGGTAGTTGTGATTATGCATTTGATGAACGTATCAACACAAATTATCCACAGCTGTTAAAATTAGAGAAAATAAGAGATATAAAATAATTTCTCATTTGTTTTGTTTTTATTCATCACGTTCAAATTTAAGAACCGTAGATAGCAGAATTTGAAGTTTGTCAAGCCTTGTTATATATGATTCTGGAATTCATATATTTTCAATCCTTGAGCTGTATTGTTGAATGCTATTTACTAAACACTTACACGATTCTTTCTGCAGGCTCCAAGTGTCGTGGGCTGTTACATAAAAAGTATGCCGGAACTGTATAACTTTATGATGAACACCTGGGCCTTATAGTATCCTTCAGATTTATTCCATCTTTCAATATGTTAATGTATCCTTGTTTGGAACCTTTACATTTCCTAAAAGTGATGGGATGTGTGAGACGAACAATGAGAAAAACAATAAGCCTGGCAGCAGCATTCAGTGTGTACTGTAGAGACCAGTTAAGAGAGAGTTACCATGATCAATCTGGCAAATTATAAGAAGCATCATGCGCTATGATTAAATGATGTTTCATTATCTGAAACTACATATTACAAATTTTTAAAATAAAGTAAAGCATTACATACCGAAAATAATTTTAATTATTGGAACTTGTTTTTAAGTATTGGAACACTGACACATTTCCCAGAGATGTTGCTCTGGCTATGCCTACACTATCCACATTTTGCTGCAACAGGTTATTTTCAACATGTCCAGAATTCAGGCAGTTCCTGGAGCTAATACTCCCTAATACTTGCTGCGTATGGCCCAGCTCCATTGTAAACTTACCATGCTTACTAAGGACATATTTCTAAAATAAACTTGCATAAATATTGTGTATACATTGAACAGTAAACACTGAAGGAACATTGTGGGCACCATAACCACTTTTGAATATTTAAGTGATTGTGGTGCCTGGAGTCAGTGGGTTCCGGGCCGAGCCTTACTACTATATTGTTTACTCGCCATTTAATAGAGATTCTTGATCCCTATTAGCCCAAAGTCCAGCCTCCAAAGGTTATATGGTGAAGGTGGAGCTATGCTTGGATTGGCTGAGAATTTATAAACAATCCCTGGTATGAATTGGAATGGTACAAGATCATTGGATGCCGGCTTTAGTGTGCTGTGGCTGAGCATCTCTGCTAATGATGAGTAAACCGTTTATTTCTTGATGTGAATCTGGCGTCCCCATGGATCCTACACTCCACACCCACTTCAATTCATTGAAGTGGTTACCGTATTCATTTAATGTTCTATAAGATATATTTGTAATATATATGGGTGTTGTTATTATATTCAGCTCCCATTTGACTGCACTATGGGAACAGACATCTTGTAGTATCCACCATCTCTAATTTCTTTACAGTAAAAATAAATATATTTATTTATTGGACAGGACTTTATCACAAGAATATGAGTCACAAAAGTTTGATATGTATGTAATGGAACATTATTGACCAGTCTTCATTTGACCTTTTCTGTTGAAGCTCTTGAAACTGACTAATGAATATGAGTTTTTGTCCATGAACAATATGAGGATCAAGGCTGGAGCATTCTCTTACAGGGACAAGATGTACTTTTTATAGAGAAATTAGTAATTTATACAAAATAAATGTGCATATGCCTTAACTCTTACCTTCATAGCCATAATCTTGAGTATGACTCCAGAGAAGATAAGGAACCTCAATTAATCTTCTATAACTTCAAAAATGAAGAGCTCAAGGTAAGAGTGTTAATAATTAACAAAATCCACATTATGTAACATTGCTATCTAAGGTAGATTTTTTGCTGGCATTTCAATTTACATCACTACAAAGTAGCAGCATTGCAAGAACACTTTGAGAAAACAGAAAACAGCCAAACTCTCATGCAGCCATACATCTGTAAGTATAGAAAAAGTGGAGGGCTTAAATTTATAATAATTTCACTGCATACGTGAACTAGTGTGTGTCTTCTTCTTGTTCGTGTTTTGATGAGAAAAAAAACAACTGTTATTTACTCAGGTGAGAATGTGGCTCTTTTGACCTTAAGTTTAAATTCTTACTTAAGTGACTAAAATCACTGATAATGATAGATACAAATTGAGCGCTACACTTTTTTATACACTTTTTGCTAATATGTTGTATCACGTGTAAGGGTGAGGTAGTGTGTAGCTACATTCAGGTTTCTATGTTTGCAACTGTAATGCTTTTACCTGTAAGGAGGATATATGTGTATGTGTGTGATTGTTGTTGTGGTTTTTATGATGTCTCCAGACATCTTAGACAGATATGAAATACAAAATTATTTACCCAGCTAAATGCTAAAAAGTCATCTCTCATAGAAATATAGAAGGTGATGGCAGATAAGAACCATTCAGCCCATCTAGACTGCCCAATGTTCTAAATACTTCCATTAGTCCCATGCCTTATCTTATAGTTAGGATAGCCTTTTGCCTACCCCACACATGCTTAAAGGACCACTATAGGCACCCAGACCACTTCAGCTTAATGAAGTGGTCTGGGTGCCTGGTCCAGCTAGGGTTAACCCATTTTTTTTATAAACATAGCAGTTTCAGAGAAACTGCAATGTTTATAGTAGGGTTAATCCACCCTCTAGTGGCTGTCTCATTGACAGCCACTAGAGGCGTTTGCGTGATTCTCACTGTGAAAATCACAGTCAGAAGACGCCACTGTCCATAGTAAAGCATTATGAATGCTTTCCTATGAGACTGGCTGAATGCGCGCACAGCTCCTGCCGCGCATGTGCATTCAGCCGAAGAGGAGGAGAAGAGGCAGAGAGGAGGAGGAGAGCTCCCCGCCCGGCGCTGGAGAAAGGTGAGTGTTTAACCCCTTCCTCTCCCCAGAGCCCGGCAGGAGGGGGTCCCTGAGGGTGGGGGCACCCTCATGGCACTATAGTGCCAGGAAAACGAGTATGTTTTCCTGGCGCTATAGTGGTCCTTTAAACTCCTTTACTCTGTTAACCTCTACCACTTCAGCTGGAAGGCTTACTTGGTGCAACTTTATATAGGCATATTTAGCAAGATGTTGACATTTTTATGGTGAAATCTTAGTCCATAATTTATTTTCATAAATGATTATTTAATTTATGATTATTTAATTTATGATTATTTAATCTTGGACATAAAGAATACCTTGCTGACAGAAAATATATTGATTTTAATGAAAATACATACTCAGAATAAACCTGGGTGATGAGATGTCTGAAACAATTATTTTATTCCAAAGGTAATAAGGCTTCCTGTCTACTGGCCTCAAAATTTAGACAAAAAAAAAAATCACAATCCCAGATTGAATATTTATTAAACGACAAAGGGGAAACATAACTCATCCTATCAAAATTAGCGTTATGTTTGCTGCTTATTATATGTCCCTTTACAATTTGGAATCTGATACGAATACTACACAAGCTTCATTAGAAATAAAAAATATATATATATATTTTATTTTTTTTAGGCAAAACTGTGTTACCATAAATTTCCACTGATAAATTGGACAATCTACATGCTAAAATCACCCCAGTAAAGTAACTTGAGGACAGTAATAAAACACTTGCAGACAAAGCACTGGGTCCTGATGGATTATACTACAAAACATTTTCTAGTATTTTGAAACCACATGTAACCAAATTATTTAATTTGTATTCGTCTGAGGGTAAGATGCCGTTGGAAGCTTTGTGTGCATAAATTGTTACCTCATCAAAACTTGGAAAAGACCCACATATGTGCTTAAACTTTCACCCAATTTCATTAATCAATAATGATACCAAATTATAAATAGAAATCAGATGAGTTTTGTTATGAGTAGGCAGGCCCAGTATGGTACTAGGCATTTTGTTAATTTGATACAGAAAATTACATCAACTTAGGCACCTTTTCTGCTCCTATCTTTGGATGGGGAAATAACGCTTGATAGAGTACACTGGGGCTATTTAAGAGAAGTGTTTAATTTAATATACCGCTGTCATTTATTAATGCGGTTTTTGCACTATATTATAATCCCACAGTCAGACTATGGGCTACAAGTTTTATTTATGAGGTCTTTCTATTAACAAATGGGACTAGACAGGGATCCCTGTCAGCTCCACTTTTATTTTTCATTGCAATGGAACCCCTGGCTAAACTGATCAGGAGAGGAAATAGAGGGCATAACAGTTAAGGATATGGTTCCTAAAATTGGCCTTTTTGCATAAGATATAATATCAGCACAAAAAAATCTGATTACATCAATAAAGACACTTACCTCCATTCTGCAGCAGTTTGAAGAGGTTGCCTACTACAAACTCAAGTCTCACAAAATTCTGGAATTACCTTTTCACATCCCATGGTCTTATCTGGATAATTTAAAAAAAGTGAATTTCGCTTCGATTGGAGATATTCCTTTATTGCATACTTGGGCATTAATGTATGCAACAATTTGACAAAGATGCGTGCATATAATTCAGCAAAGATATTGCCTGAAAAAAACTAGATTGATAGATGGCGCAGTCTTGAAATGTCATGTTTGCTTTAATTAAGATGACCATCCTCCCTAAAATACTCTATTTTTTAAGAACAATTTCCCTTTCTATACCTCAATCTCAAAAAGATCTATTCAACACTAATTAATTCTATGTGGAGGAATAAAACCAATAGAGTTAAATTCTCAGTTTTGCAAAACATTAGGGTTAAGAGAGGTTTGAGAGTCCCTGATTTTAAGAATTATTCTTATTATATTACCAACGCAGCCTATGCCTTTAAATTTGGATATTAATCAACGTAAATGACTGGAGATGGAAGTAGATAAAACTTGCCTTATTCTAGTAAGGAGATACTGTGGGTACATACATCTAAACACACAAGGATTGCAAAATTGTTTCCTTCCACCAAGTTTCCTTTTGAAAGCAAAAAAATAGAGTCTGCAAAAAGACTTCGATTATTGGTATTAGCACTCCATATACAACTTTGATAATTCCTTCTCTGACAATTCCCGTATGTCCTTTGAATAATTAAAGGCAAAGTATGACTTAGATGATTTTATCACCCCTAAGTACAATGTGATGTGCTGCAAATTACTGTACAGTGTTTTGAGATTCCTGGATTGAAGATGTAATAACTTTAGATAATTCTAATCTGGAAAAAATGGATCTCTCTGATCCAAGTCTGAAACATTCTATTTCTTTATGTTACGCCTATATCACATCTAGGCCTTCTTCAGAATTTGATTTTATGGTGATATGGGGGGGAAAGATTTAAATGTACAATACGAACTGGAAGATTGGTTTGCAATCGTACTTGCTTTAAATGGAATAACATAGTGTTCCAGTCACATGAACAAGCATTATAAAAACTATAGCTGGTACTTGGCCCCATCCAGGTTACAGAAGAAGAATCCAAATATTTCTAGTATATGTTGCCATGGATGTGGTCAAATCGGTTCAGTATCTTCTGCTTTGAGGCATTGTCCCAAACTTCAAAAAATGTAGCGAGGCATAGTTAATAAAATTGATCCATAAATCATGGTATTGACATTAGAGTTAACCCTATTCAAAAACAAATCTGATAACACCAATACAATTGACAAGATCATGATATTTTGATAACAGCAACACCTATCCCTGGATACAGGAAATCACCTAATATGCTACCTATTAAAGATGCTCTCTATCTAGTGCTAGATAATAAGCATTACAAAATGGTTCTTAGCCAGTCATCCTCTAGAGTGGACCAATTGAAATTTCACTGGAACACATGGGAAGGTAATATCAAACATACATTCTCTCTGCAGTTTAGACAGATAGCTAACTGACTAAACTTACTAAATAGTTTAAACCTTTAACAATTTAATCCATGTATATTTATTTTATAATGTTATTCATACACTTGTTTGCTCTTTAAAATAATTGTATTTTTTTTGATTATGAGTATTTGGATAGAAATGTTTTCCCCTTGTTATCCCCCTTTTTGTTTTCTGTTTCCCCTTTGTTATTATGAAGTTTTTTAAATAAAAAAACATTTAACTAGAAAATAACATCACGAACAGTAAAACCGGTTCTAGCAATAATTTTTTTTGCAACTTTTACATTTTTATTTGTTTTATTTTCACACTTTACAGTCAGTGAAAATAAAGAATCTGAAAGCTGATGAAATTAGCGCTTTACTCGATGAAGCTGGGTTTTACCGCAAGTCAGAAAAGGGAGAAGAGGTCCCTAAAGAATTCCAGCACTATCCATTGTCAGCACCAAGAGATGAGCTCTAAGTGACAATGTTATATAGTTATTATTGAATAATATTTTGAATTATATGTTTCAGTGGCACATAGAGAATGGACATCACGCTCTTTACACTAGAATGCTGTATCTTTGGTGAGAAGATATTACAAATCATGGAAGCTTACTTTTTTATTAAGAACAAAAGTATGTGATGATAATAAACTATATTTATACTCACTTTAAATACAACAGACATTTTTTTTTCATTTCTCCTCGTATATATGGTTAAACTAATGAGATTCTTTTTATCTTTGAGGCTCTTCAAGACAAGAAAAATATTCAGGTTTTGTGTATAAATTGATGTTTAGGGTTAATTAATGCACAATTTTCATTTTTCAATGGGCTGTTGTGGTTTCTTTAAGGGAGTGGGGGTGTGGCCAGGGGCAGGGCTGTTGTGAGAAATTTCTGGTGACTTACTAATAACTACTTATGGAAGTAAAATGTAATTTAAAACAAGAACAATGTATCTTAACTATACAAACCAATTTCTAAACACATTTATTGTAGTTTAAAGGCATATCAGACACACCAACAATACGATGCTCCTAGAAAAGAGGGACTTTAGGATAGAAAGGTGGAACAGAGGGATTTGGGCCCAAAATAGGGACTTTCACTCCTACATAGGGACACGTAGGAGGTATGTATAGTAAATGTTTAATGCAATATTTTTGGTGCAATGGTCCAAAAACCACAAACATGCCTGGTACTATGCAGTCAACTCCTCCTTAATTATGCACACTTCATGTATTGCACAATACCAACTGTGGTCAAATATGAGCGGGCAGCTGTGTTTGCAGTCACTCTAATTACCAGTAGCTTTTTGGGAGAGACTCTCACCATCAGGTAAGTATATTTTAATACATATACTTCTTGCAATGTTCTTACAGGTGCACCAGCACAGTCTGTAAACTATGTATATTACTAAAAGTTGATGTTGACCCTATTATGGTCAATGGTTTTGAACCTTTTTTGACAGGGAATAAATGAATCCAACCAATTTATCTGCAGATGTCACCATTGAAGTCTAAGGACATTTTTTTGTAGATAAATCCTGTGGAAGGTCAGTGGTGAAAATAAAGTAGGGAGGGTCCCATGCTAAGATTTTTTGAGCCCCCCTATAATGTTAGGGTTCTCAAAAAGAAGATGCTGAATGTTATAGAACTCCCACGATACTAGCTGGCAATCTTCCATATGTCCATCCTTTCAGGGTTGTATTTGTGAGCGGTGTGTGTTTGTGTGTTTGAATGTTTGTAATGTTGGTGTTTACCAGTGGTGACTGCCAGCAAACTAGTCTACTACACAGCACCATACATAGGACATTAATTCTCCACTACTCTTCCAACCAGGCTCTAGTACCTCTGTCTGTTTCGGGATTTTTGTAGCTGCATCTTGAGGAGCCCCATGTGGGCTGCAGTGCAGTAACTTGTTTGTAGACTTCAAGTAGCCTAAATGTGTGAAGTCAGTAAGAATTTCAACTGAGTTCTGTTGGGCCTAGGGGTCCTGAGGCATCAGCAGCACAGTTTAAACAGTGTACTCACTTCAAAGAGCAGTGGCAGGGGTCTCTAAATGCCCTGGGGACCATGTGCTGTCTCACTGGCTGCAACACTCTTAGTTCTGCCTCTATGGAAAGTATTTTTGATATTGAATAATTTGTAAAATGTAGTATTACCTTAGTGACCTATTATTCTATTTCAAAGTTAGTGCAGTGACCTATTCTTCGACTGCTAAATGAAATATAACAAAATTCTTTAAAACACTTCCAGTGTACTCTTACAACTGTCCGAGGGGTCTCCATTGCACTTAGAAAGGAGGTGCTGCTACAGTAACAGTTTTGTTTAGGAGCAGTTACTTGGGTTCTGATATCTGTGTGTGTTTATACTGATGAAAAGACACCCAGAAGATTCTTAGCACAAGCACGATACAAAAACAGACTATGGAAACTATTGCTTAAGAAAAAATAGTAGAGTTAATTCATATTTAGAAAAAAGACTTAATTATTTTTCAATATACTATTCTATTGAATTTACCAAGGTTTCTTAGAAACTATTCTTGAATATCAAAGGGTTAAGCGTTAAAACCCTTGGTAAATCAGCTCTTTCGTGTTAGTACAGATGGTGCCTGGGTAATCTCCCAGTGAGCAGATTGCTAGAGAAATCCTTTAATTAGCAAGAGAGGCACACATTAACCTTTGCAACAGTTTAGAAAGACAGAGTCTGCTATGGAAGAGACATGGCTCTCCATACTCCCCTGCCATGCAATATTCGACACAGCCTTGCCAGCATTAGTGGATCTCTGTTCACCCAAAACAAAACCAGAGACTGTGGTGGTGACAGACAGTCGTATCATACAGGTATGATATCTATTCAGGGTATAGTAGGAAAAAGAGCTAGACTTGTTCCCTTTTAAAATATCTGGTTGTGCAATTAATGGCATAATATAGAGGTAGTACAGGTAGTGGAGGCAGAATCTTCTCAAAGCAGCCTTCTGACATAAAAATGATCACTAGTATAGTGCTCTGCAGGCTACTAAGAGGGAGGGGTTGATGTCTATCAGGACAGGTGCTGGGAAACAGAACTTTGCTGCTCTCTCATATAGTTAGGTAGCATGGCGCAAGCACACTGAATACCTGGTTGTGCAGATCGTGCTTGTTTCTGGTTGCGCTATCATTGAGATCCCAAAGACTATTCGCAGCACACTGTTCATTGGTAGAGAAAAGGAGACATAACATAGAATATACAAGTGATACTCGAAAAATTTGAATATCGTGCAAAAAGTTCATTTATTTCAGTAATGCAACGTAAAAGGGGAAACTAATATATGAGATAGACGCATTACATGCAAAGCAAGATAGTTTAAGCCGTGATTTGTCATAAGTGCGATGATTATGGTTTACAGCTCATGAAAAACCCAAATCCACAATCTCAGTAAATTAGAATATTGTGAAAAGGTACAATATTCTAGGCTCACAGTGTCCCACTCTAATCAGCTAAGTAAGCCATAACACCTGCAAATGGTTTCTGAGCCTTTAAATGGTCTCTCAGTCTGGTTAAGTAGGAATCACAATCATGGAGAAGACTGCTGACCTGACAGTTGTGCAGAAATCCATCATTGACACTCTCCATAAGGAGGGAAAGCCTCAAAAGGTAATTGCGAAGGAAGTTGGATGTTCCCAAAGTGCTGTATCAAAGCACATTAATATAAAGTTATGTGGAAGGGAAAAGTGTGGAAGAAAAAGGTGCACAATCAGCAGGGATGACCGCAGCCTGGAGAGGATTGTCAGGAAAAGGCCATTCAAAAGTGTTGGGGACTTTCACAAGGAGTGGACTGAGGCTGGAGTCAGTGCATCAAGAGCCACCGCACACAGACGGATCCTGGACACGGGCTTGAGATGTCGTATTCTTCTTGTCAAGCCGCTCCTGAACAACAAACAACGTCAGAAGCGTCTTACCTGGGCTAAAGAAAAACAGACCTGTTCTGTTGCTCAGTGGTCCAAAGTCCTCTTTTCTGATGAGAGCAACTTTTGCATCTCATTTGGAAACCAAGGACCCAGAGTCTGGAGGAAGAATGGAGAGGCACACACTGCAAGATGCTTGAAGTCCAGTGTGAAGTTTCCATATGTGTTGATGTGGGGAGCTATGTCATCCGCTGGTGTTGGTCCACTGTGCTTCATTAAGTCCAGGGTCAATGCAGCCGTCTACCAGGAGATTTTGGAGACCTTCATGCTTCCTTCCACAGACAAGCTTTATGGGGATGCTGACTTTATTTTCCAGCAGGACGTGGCACCTGCCCACACTGCCAAAAGCATCAAAGCCTGGTTCAATGACCGTGGGATTACTGTGCTTGATTGGCCAGCAAACTCACCTGTCCTGAGCCCCATAGAGAATCTATGGGGCATTGCCAAGAGAAAGATGAAAGACATGAGACCGAACAATGCAGAAGAGCTGAAGGCCGCTATTGAAGCATCTTGGTCTTTCATAACACCTCAGCAGTGTCACAAGCTGATAGCTTCCATGCCACAACGCATTGAGGCGGTAATTGCTGCAAAAGAGGCCCAAACCAAGTACTGAATCCATATGCATGCTTATACTTTCCAGAGGTCCGACATTGTTCTATGTACACTCCTTGTTTTATTGATTGCATGTTATATTCTAATTTACTGAGATTGTGGATTTGGGGTTTTCACGAGCTGTAAGCCATAATCATCACACTTATGGCTTGAACTATTTTGCTTTGAATGTAATGCGTCTATCTCATATATTAGTTTCCCCTATTACGTTGCATTACTGAAATAAATGAACGTTTGCACAATATTCTAATTTTTCGAGTATCACCTGTATATCAAAACATATTCCCACCTCTCTGTTAGTGTAGCGGTCACTGAAGCTCCAGGTGTTTCTAGAAGCTAACTAAACCCCTGTTACTAGGGCTGCCAAGTAATTATTTGATTTTGAGACTCTTATGAAAGATGTTCGTTTTGGGATTATACTGGCTGAAATAGGGATTTATACACATTTATACTGGAATCCCTTAAATCAGCTTCTGATCTGGCAATCCTACAACTGTAATTTACAAAAATACTCTCCCTTGGCTACCATTTCAATTATTGATTCACATACCTAATGGTAGCATCTAGTAAGGAAAAAACTGAGAAATAAAGCTGGCACTAGATCAGGAAGAATTAAACTCTGATATAAGTGGGAAAACACCGCCCTTGGACCTGGAAGCAGAATGTGCAACCATCTGACCCAGGCAAACTGTGGCAGATCTAACCTAAAACATGGAAATACAGAACACAAGTGGAGCAGAACCAGACCCAACCTGAGACAGGTAGGCTGTAAACTGACAAAATCAAAATAGGCTGGGGACAGTAACGCACTACACGCCTGTGGGCATGGACCTGGACATTACAAAACACGCAAGGAACCCTGCTCAAAAAAAAGGAGCATATATTTCCACACATACATCCAACACAGGATCACAAATTGTGTCTACCATGACCATTGATACAAACTGCAATATAGCAGTGTACCATGTGTATATACAAATACACACCTAAGCATGCACAAAGGATGCTTGCCACTCAAACTGTCCACCTGAGAGAAGACCATGATGCATCATTCCATGAAGAGGGAACTAAAAATGGAGCTTCAGTGGAAACTTACCTATGACTCAATTTAACAGTAAGTAGGTTTAT